AGCATTCAGCCTTGAGGGCTAGATGAAACACTTTTGCTTTGCACCTCTAAATTGTTTTTCCCAAACACCAACAACTGCAAACTTTCTGTGTCTAGATATGTAAACTATTTTTGAAAGAATTACTTGAAGATGTGATATGGCAAAATAAAAACGAGTCAAGAAGGAAGAGAGCCGAAATCGGTTTGGCTCCATGGATAGAGCGTCAGCCTGAGGACTAAAAGGTTCCGCATTTGATTCCGGTCCAGGGCATGTACCTTGGTTGCGGGCACATCTCCAGTAGGGGGTGTGCGGGAGGCAGCTAATAGATGATTCTCTCTCATCGATGTTTCTCTCTGTCCCTCTCTCTCTTCCTCTCTGTAAAAAATCAATAAAATATATATTTTTTTTAAAGGAAGAGAAAATAAAACAAATCTAAGTAAACATTGGTGGGGGAAAAAAACCAACAACAGTCCCACTAATTGGCCAGGTGACCTCAGCATGTAAGGGACACAGGTGAAAGAGAAAACTGAATGTATGTTAAGGCTCTTATTTTGTTGGCTAGGGTATGGAATTAAGAGAAAAAGATAGAGATATTTGCTAGTTACATGTTTTTGAAATACAAAATCAAATAATATAATAGGTACTACTGTATGAAACAAACAGAATTACTCCGTAAATTATATGTAGCACTACATTTCCATTACCGCCAGTTAAGTGGGCCCATCAGAAAATGGTCCCTCTCTACTTAGAATCTCTAATATCAATTTGAAAAGGGGCTATTGGAAATATTTACTCAATAGTTATTTGGGGGCCAAACTCTGTTTTAAGGATAGTTGCTTTCCTCTTCTTCATCTCCCCAGAATCAAGAGACACAGAAGAGTGTTCCGTAGACAAGATGTGACATGAAAACACAAAGCACAATATACAAAAACTGCTGGCAACCCAGGACACTGCAGAGCAGTGATTTTTCAATTGGTGTGCTGCAAGAATTTTTAAAACATGCAATACCTGACCAGTTAGTCAGCGGCACTGAGCTAAACAGAAAATGAATTCCTATCTACTGTTAGCACACTACCTGTTCTTTTAAAAAATATAGTATATTTTATTGTTTTATAGAGAGGAAGGGAGAAGAGTAGAAAGCTAGAAACATCCATCAGCTGCCTCCTGCACACTTCCCACTGGGGATGTGCCCGCAACCAATGTACGTGCCCTTGACCGGAATCGAACCCGGGACCTGTTTCAGTCCGCAGGCCGGCGCTCTATCCACTGAGCCAAACCGGTTTCGGCCACACACTGCCTGTTCTTGCAGTCCAAATCATTCCTAACTCACACAATGGGGGCTATGTGGCTTCGAGTTTTAAAAAATAGCACCAGCTTCTACTCAGGCAGTTCTTTTATCATTCTCAAGTCAGTGCCCAGTCCCACTGTGAAACCTAACCTGGTGTTTGGCTGAGGTCAGTCTAGAACTGGCAAAGTCTGGAATTGGGCTGTGACAACTGCATACCAGAGACAGATGAGTTTAGTGTTCAGTGCCACTCTTCATCAATATAGGTTTCTGCATGTTCTGTTGTCAAAGAGAAAAGGCTTTGACATAAATAATGGCCTATAATATCAGAGTAATTGAATGCAACATCCATAAAGAGGAAATAACGGACTGATATGGAAATCCAGCATGACATAACTGTTACTTTGCTGCCAAATATAAGGCAATGTAGTCTAAATTTGCTGCTGTGAGAGAAATGGTAATACAATGATTCCAGGAAATGATACAAGCTTTCCCTGATATCAGACTTCAGGGTAAAGATTTATCCACATGTATTTTTATATCCTGGTAGTCCTCAAAGTCAAATAGTTTGGATTCGCCTTGATTGGTGTGGCTCAGTGGATATAGCATTGGCCTGCGGACTGAGGGGTCCCAGGTTCGATTCCAGTCAAGAGCATGTACGTTGGTTGCGGGCACATCCCCAGTGGGGGGTGTACAAGAGGCAGCTGATCGATGTTTCTCTCTCATCAGTGTTTCTAACTATCTCTTTCACTTCCTCCCTGTAAAAAAATCAATAAAACATGTTTAAAAAAACCACACAAAAAAATCCCAAATAGTTTGGATTTAATATAGTCTAGGTCTCAATACAACGAATACATTTCCAGTTTGGGCTTGGCAAAAAGATAAAACTCTGAAAATTTGGAAAATATATATGTAAATGAAATTACTGAGGAATTAACCACCTCATAGTTTTTGGCAATCTTATTTCAGACCCTACCTATCCCTCAAGAGTATCTAATTCAACAATCTTTTGGTAACATTCACAGGAAAGAATTTTGGAGATGTTCAAAAATAGAAAATAAAAATTATAATTCACATGTTCTTGAGCGTTGTTTTCTCTCTCAACTTTGCTCTTAACATAGCATTGGGAGTTTCCTTCCCTTTTTGGCTCACTGTATCTTATTGAAAAATCTCTAGAAATGATGGGCTGGAATTTTGAAGTAAAAATGAATTCTATACAAATCTCTCCACTGGTTTATGGGAGAGGGGGCCACCAGTCTCAAGGGGCCTTGCATGGCCTTGCTGTGTGTGCCTCTCTAGGACAGACACGCTGACATTTTCTTTCCTTCCTGCTCACTTTTTCTACCAGCACTGCCTATTTTTTAAAAATATATATATTTATTGATTTTTTTACAGAGAGGAAGGGAGAGAAACAGAGAGTTAGAAACACTAATGAGAGAGAAACATGGATCATCAGCCTCCTGCACACCTCCTACTGGGGATGTGCCCAAAACCAAGGTACATGCCCTTGACTGGAAATGAACCTGGTACCCTTCAGTCCACAGGCTGATGCTCTCTCCACTGAGCCACACCGGTTAGGGTAACACTGTCTATTTCTTTTTGCCTGGTGGCTATCCTCTCAGCTGGAAGGTGGGCCATCACCCCTTTTGTGAGCTTTCATGTACACTACCTGCCTGACTTCCAATAATCCAAGCATACAAAGTCTCAGTCCAACTACTGTACTTTCAACCTACTTTCCTTTATTTATGTTAATCCTCACCCAGCAATAGTCTTTCCCCATTGATTTTTAGAGAGGATGGGAGGGAGAGGAGAGAGAGAAACAACCACGTGAGAGAGACGTGAATTGGTTGCCCCCTCCCCTCGAGGTGCCCCTACTGGGGTTGGGGAAGGTGCCCCCCTCAGTGAGAGGGCCTGTGCTCTAACCACTGAGCACACTGGTCAGGGCCCTATTTTCCTTTAGAACATCCTTTTAAATAACGAGTTTTCAATTTTTAAAGGTATCTATTCAAACTCACAGAAATTTCAATAAACTCTAATCTTATGGGTGTGACTCTTTTATAAAACCCCATTAATTTTTCCTTTTATTTGCAAGGTCATTGTATTCTCTGTAGATACTAGTAGAACCCTACTGCCAAACAGAAAGTGGTTAACATGTGCAATAAGGCAGAGTAAAAGTCCTAACAATATCACACAGAATCTGAGCGTTAGAAAAGACCTGAAGTTACAGGTTCAATTCCAACCAAGGGCACATGCCCGGGGCTGAGGGCTCTATCCCCAGTGTGGGGCATGCAGGAGGCGGCTGATCCATGATTTTCTCTCATCATGGATGTTTCTCTCTCTCCCTCTCCCTTCCTCTCTGTGACATCAATAAAAATATATTTTTAAAAAAGATCTCAAGGACCATGTTGTACAACCGCCTCTCTTTTGTGTGTATGTGACCACCAGGGGTTTGAACTTAATACTTTTCAAAATAGGGTTCGGGAAAAACTTCAATAAAACAAATCAAAACTACAAAAGAAATGGTAATTGGAGCTAACTTGTTTTAAAAATGTGTTTGCTCGCTGAGGTCGCCTGCGTGGGGACGGGGGAGTCTGGCAGCGCACCTCGGCGAACTGTGTGGAAAAGTGTTTGATCGCCACAGAGGAGGGGCCGGCTGTTCCCCAGGAGGTCACACCTGCGGGAGCCCCGGAATGGCTCTGGAGGGACCGCCGGGTGAAGAGGGCGAGGATTTAACCGCAGGGAACGGCGCCTCAGACCGGCATCTGCCAAAGGCTGTTGGAAACGGGTCGCAGCAACGGGCGCTTTGTAACCGAATTTCTGCACATCGCTGGGAATATTCTAGAATCCCAAACCCAGACCTCACAATGAGACCCATTAAGTAGTCTCTGTGGGGCTGGCAGAGTATTTTTTAAAGCTCCCCCTCCCCGCCCCTTAGTCTCAGGTGCAGGCGAGGTTGAGATCCCGTTTTTAAGCAGGAAGCCAGAGGAAAGGCGGGTTTGGAAGAGGGAGTGGCGGGTGTGGGGGGCACAGATGAGCCGAAAGCCGTCGGGCAGGGCGGCTCCCGCAGGGCAGGGCCAGGAGCGGGTGAGGCCAGCGGGGAGGGCTGAGGGGCCGTTTTTTGTGCTAAAACTGCCTGGATTTGGGGGGTCGTAATAAGACCAGCAGCCATTCAACGCCATTAGTGACCTTATCCCGCCAGCGGCCTGGCTTCTCCCTCCAATCATATTTTCTCGCACCTTTTCCCACAGTCATAAAAAAAAAAAAATGACGGCAACGCTTTCTATCCCACGGAAGGCGCATGAGCGGATCGTGGGAGGCGCAAAGGCCTGAGAAATCACCAGCCGCGGCCACCTCCTGGCGATTCCAGAAGCACAACCCACGAAAACTGAGGAGGAGCGGGTGGCGGCCGCACCGGCGAACCGCCCGGGAGCGCGGAGAGTTACCTCAGGCAAACCGCAGCCTTTTAAAACCTGAGGGCCGCCAGGGCGAGGGCGGGGCGACCGCTGACGTTCACGGTGACGCGCAGGCTCCGCCCACACAGCCGCTTCCGGTGGCGCGCGGCCGCGCTTCCGCTTTTCCCGCCCGCGCCTCGGCCCCGCCTATTCCCCTAACCCCGCCTCCCTCCGCCCCGTCTCCGCCCCGCCGCGAGCGTCCTGGCGCCCAACCGCCTGGAGAAAGGCCAGGAACTGTCGGAAGTCCCCCTGCAGGTTCCCCTTCCGGTCTGCTATCGACTTCCGCTTTGGGCCGTCAATATGGTTGCTGCGGCTGCCTGGCGGAGCGGACTCTGATCCGTGGCGGAGGCGCAGCTTCTCTGCGGCAGCCGTCCCGCTTCCCCGCCCTCCCCCCGCCCCTCGCTGCTGTCCCTGGGGCGGGCGGGCTCCTTGCTTCATGGGGGCGGGCCTCCGCGCCCGGCGCTCGGCTTCCTGTTCAGAGGCGCTCGGGCGGTAGGCGGCTGACTCTGCCCGCGCCCACCTCGGCGCGGCGACCGAGCCCCCCGGGAGGCTCCAGGGCCGCTGCGCCTCGCCCGACCCCGTGCCGCCATGCCCCCCGTGCAGCTGGAGAACCACCAGCTGGTCCCGCCCGGAGGCGGCGGCGGAGGCAGCAGCGGCCCCGCGTCAGCGCCGGCGCCTCCTCCCCCTGGAGCCGCCGTGGCGGCGGCTGCTGCGGCCGCGGCGAGCCCCGGCTACCGGCTGAGCACCCTCATCGAATTTCTGCTGCACCGGGCCTACTCGGAGCTCCTGGTGCTGACGGACCTGTAAGTGCCGCGATCCCATGCCCGCTCCGCAGTTCCCCTTCCCGCCCAAGCGGCGGAGGGGCCAGCACCGCTGTCTTCCCCTAGAGGCTGCTGTTTTCTCCTGTGCCGGCTGCTCGGAGCGCTGAGCTCCCGGGGCGTAGCGGAGGCGCAGGGAGGACAGAGGCTTGGCGTTTGGGGTCTTTCTGGAGAAGCAGCCACCGAGACTTGTTAATTATGCATGTTGCTAGGCTCGCATTGAGAACCTCACCTTGGGGATTCTTGCTCAGGTTGCCAGCAGAACTGGATTGATTTCTGGGCTGGAAGCGTTTTAGCCCGGAGCCCAACGTTAGGGTTGAGGAATACAATCGAGCTTAAAAAAAAAAAATCTCAAAGATGCGAGATCTGTTTTACAGCATCTTGACGGTACATTTGAGATGTGGGTTGTAATTGCTTCTGACTAAGCTTGAGCTCGGAGCTGGAGTGTGTATCCAATAATACCATAATTTGGACCCCGGGTTTTTTTCTAGAACATTTGGAATCGTAACGCAGGTAGTGTAAGTAAAAGGTATTTTGTAACTGGTGTGCTGTTACAGTTTCTTGGTGTATGAAGAGAATTTATAAATCAAGTTACCCATGAATTGCCTTGGCACATGATTAGGATGTAATGCCTTCGGAGGAGGGTCAGAGCACGGGAATGATTTTCAGTGTGCTGAGAAAAGGCGCTATAAAATTCGGCGGTGTGTATACTGGACTATTTTGCATGTTTTATTCCAGGTTCAGGAAAAGTTGAGAATTACAAGTTTTTAATCTATATTAGTTTGTATCTTTTATCTGTTGCAGAACAGATCAGTGTTTTCAATGGAAATAATTAGTATATAGATATTAGGCTATAAATTGTCATAGTAACTTGTTAAAATATTTGTTTGCATATGACTAAAAGAATTTGAAAAGATTCCTCATTCCTGTAAAACATCATTCTCACATTCTGTACTTTATTGAATGGGACAGAAAAAAGTCTACTCCTTTCTAATAAGAAACGTAAGATGTCATGATTAGGGATTATTGTAGTATTATACTTCTTTATACCATTTATTGTTGGATTTCATAAAAATCCAAGCGTGTCCATGAGAAAATTTCATGTATGTGAAGGTTATGTGTCCTATGTTTAGCTCTGGCGAAGTGTTAAAAACTGCTGCTCTGAGTGGTTGTGTAATTTGTTTTCCCATAGGGATTTGTAGAAATTCTTTGAATTATTGTGGTGTTCTTGCTATTTTAGGATTTACTTATGAAGAGAGGAACATCTGTTTATTGCTGTAGAATAAGTATACCCTTTTAGTCCCATACACTTTACATGACTATGATTGCCGTACTTAGATCTCTAGCATAGATCTCCAGACTCTCTACCCAGATGCCTACATGTAAATACTCACAGGCATTTAAGTGTCCAGTCCAGAACCAAACTCCTGCTTCCACTCAATCTTTCCAAACCTTTCCTGTCTCACGGAATAATATCTCGATTCCTCCTATTGTTGCTTCGGCCAAAAATACCGGGATAATTCCTGGCTCCTCTTTTTTCTAGCCCCACAGTACAGTTCAGCAGCAAGCCTGTCATCTTGGACTTCAGAATCTGACCGCTTGTCAGTATTTCCATCCGGTGCTAGTCCTTCGCCCACGTTACTTCAGTAGTCTGCTACTGGTATCTTCACTGCTGCCTTTTCCCTCTTCAGGTTTTTCCTCCAAAAAATAGCCAGGATGATCCTTTGAGACCTGCTCACAACCCTCTCGTGGTTCCCCACCTCACTCAGAGTAAACGTTTTTATAGTCACCTATTTATAGGGTGACCATAAAATTGATGGTTGAAATCAGGACGCTTTTGGGCATGAAAGATGGTGCTGTTGGTAGTCATGTCAAAGCAGCAGGCATAAACTGGAACTATCTTGGGTAAACCAGGAATGTGGTCACCTTGGCTTTAAGGCCCTCTATCAGGGGTGGGGGACCCTTTTTGCTGCCAAGGACCATTTGGATATTTATAACATCATTTGCAGGCCGAACAAAATTGTCAACTTAAACATTAGCCTGCTATATTTGGTCAGATATTTAATTAACTCACCTCTAATGTCTTGGCAGGGCCAGACCAAATGATTTCGTGGGCCTGATACAGCCCTCCGGCCAGGTGTTCCCCACATTCATTCATTAATGTGCTAAATCGATGAGTAATCAGGTAACCCCCTGCATTGACCTGTGCCTGCACTCCCTCCCTCCCTCCCTCCTTCCCTCCCTCCCTCCCTCCCCTCTAACTTCACCTGCCGCTGCCTGCTCCCAGCAATCTGTGAGGTTTGCTTTCTCACCTCCTTCAGGACTTGGTTCAGACTTTTTCTGACTGTCCTGGGAAGCTCTGTCTCCTCAGTCTGTCCTCTGCTCACTGCTTTGTTTGGTTTCTCCCCGCCCTGGAAGCTCAGTGAGGATGGATTTTGATTTGGTTGCTCCTTTCCCCAGGGCCTAGGACAGTGCCTGACACAGTAGGGGATTACCTGATTATTCATTGATTTAACACGTTAGTGAGTGGATTTTTAGAATGGTCGTTGTAGATCATGGGGAATTTGATGGGAAGATTTGTTGTTGCTTTTGATAAACTTTTTTCTCTCTCGATTTGTGGTTACCAAAATTAGTTTAGGGCAGTGGTCTGCAAACTCATTAGTCAACAGAGCCAAATATCAACAGTACAACGATTGACATTTCTTTTGAGAGCCAAATTTTTTAAACTTAAACTACATAGGTAGGTACATTGTTATTAACTTAATTAGAGTACTCCTCAGCTGGCCTTTGCTAAAAACTCAAGGGGAAAAGAGGCTGCATGTGGCTCGAGAGCCGCATTTTGCCGACCAGTGGTTTAGGAACTTACCTTGGAAGTTCCTAAGTCATGTATTTCTCCTTGTTCCAGGTAGGAACTGTCAGGAGTAATGTGTTAATAATGTAAGACCTGTGTTCTTATAAGAGTCTTATTTCTGCCACGTTTGATGCTTGTCTGTGAACTATGGAATGAAAAAGCAGCCTTAGCACTTAAGGTGATTTGGTTTAGGCCCCAGATTTCTGTTTTTTCCTTTGCTTGTCCACTTCCTCCTCCTGCCACACTCTCCCACCCCCACTCCCCAATACACACGACCACATCTTAGAGTTTATACTCTGCCTTGACTCTTTCTATTCTTTTTTAAACCTCTTTAAAATCAGAAAGTGCTAGCATTTCAGTCTTGTAAACTTAACCCACATTTAGGTTTAAATAAGTTTCTGTGACTTACCATTTCCAAAAGACTAGCAGTTTAAGGCTTTTGCCCCAAATGGTGGCTTTGTTATCTGGAAAGGAATTTAAAATAGGTTAGGAGGAATTTGGGGGGCGGGGATGTAGACAGCAAAGCCTGCCCTTTGTCCCTGACATGACACCGCCTGTGACATGGGATGACCCTTTCAGGGACAGGTGGAGAGCTGGAGCGATGACTGCAGTGCTTTCTACCCCAAAGGCTCTGTCTGTCTGTCTCTCTGGCCCCCGTCGTTCTCAGTCTCTCCTTCCCTGCGGACAGGGCCCTGCTCTCAAGAGCTTCCACATGGAGAGGAACTCAGCAGCTGCTTTTACTCCCATCTTCCAACAAAGCTGGACTTTCTGCTTCACCCTCTGGTCTGCCTGTTCTCCCAGCTCCTACCTGGTCTCCTTCAGTGCTGGGATATTTCAGCTCCCATCCCACTGTCTGCCATAGGGACTGTAGGTGACTGCCAGCCAGAGCTCCTTTTAATAGTTTTCCCTCGTGGTGGGCTTCGTCTGCCTGCATGTGGGTGGGAGAAGAGGGTCTAAGGTCTTGGTGTATATTCTTCAAGAACGATGCACTGTTGGGGGAGGCTTCAGAGTTCAGGCCATTGCGTCTGGGACCCTGGGGTGACTCAGGAGGCAGGCAGCTCAGGGCCTTTCTCAAAGCATCTGTGGGTGGAGAGTGCTACCAGCCAGGGGGGCCAGGGGAAATGGTGATGGTGGTTGTGGCTGTCAGTCCTGGAGGACTAACTAGCAAACAAAGAAATTAGGAAGACCCAAAACCTTACTGGAGCTGTTTGAAAGTAACATAAATAATTTACATCTGCTCACACGCAGCATCACAATTACTGCGAAGCCCTGGCGGACACTGGCTCTTTTGTGTGCTCAGCTGCCAGCTTTGCCCACAACAAAACCGGGAGGCGCACTGCTGGAGGCGAGCTTCCCCTGGATATGGGGGGACTGGCACCTAAGTAGTGCTCTGCATCGGGGGCCACTTTGGCCTCAAAATAACGCTTTCTCTGACTCTCTGCTGCAGTGTGCTAATGTAAGGCTGGGGCTTCGTGAACGTGTGAGGTTCCTACAATACTTTGGAAGCGTTTTGAATGGAGAGAAATGTTCCTTTGTTAGCTTCTCCCTGATAGCCGGATTGCTGGAAACTTATAAAAGAGTTGGTAGCCACACAGGCCTGTAGTGGCCGTTTATCTAGTTTTTCTGAAACCTAACGTGGTTAATAGGGCCAAAGTAAAAACTATTATGTTTTAATGAAGGTGTGCATATATTTAGTCATTTTCTTTTTTCTTCTTCTCAGACTGCCAAGGAAATCTGATGTGGAAAGGTGAGTATGAAAAAAACCTTCAGTCTGTGTCTGTGTTGCTGTATCTATGAGTATGTGTGTGTGTGTATGTGTGAGAGAGTGAGAGTGCGGCTGGACATGATGGCAGCGCTGCAGGCCGGAAACCTAGGCCCAGAGAGCCGGGGTGATTTTTTCTCATCATTTCTTGGTGTGAGACCAGCTGTGGATCTTAGGTTTTAAAAACCTTTTCTAAGTCACTGGCCCGGTCAAATCCCTGAGAAGTTGTAAAACAAAACGGAAGAAGCTAAGGAATAGACTGGCTTGAAAAGTTGGCTGCTAGTTTACCATTTGCTACAATGATGCAATTAGATATCTTTAGAGACTTGACATTTGCCTACTATTGTTGCTGTTTTAGAGTTGAGAGGATTTTGATTCAGTTGCAGTTTGAGGCTTAAGATACAACTAAACACTATTATGTTTCCATAGCGAAGGAGCAAGATAAATTACGTTTCAAAGAAATCTTGTGATGGAGATAGCATGGCTACAGCATAGGCTATTTGGCTATTTTTTTGGCACCTCTTATGCTCCTTAGTTTAAGCTTTTTAAAGGCCAAGCCACTGGAGAGGATTTTAGCCTTTATTGATGATTACACTCTCCCTCTCCCCTCAACTGACCTTTCTGATAGAATGAGACATAGATCAGAAAGAGGTGAAAGGAAAAGTGAAGCGTGCCTGCGTTACAGTTTGGCTGGCCAGTTCTACAGGAGGGACATGGAAATGAAAGTCAGGATGTGTGCTGTCCACACGGTGGGCAGGGCTCTGGAGAACCTCTCCCTGAGACAGCGTGGTGAGAAAGCACGGTGTAAAAACCCGCGGTACGGTGGGCCGAAGGGGGAAGCCAGATCACTGATGTACAAATAGGCTTGTCCTGGAAGAGGAGCCTTAGAGGGACAGTCAGTGCTGAGCCCCTGTGCTGAGGTGCTGCCAGATCATGAGGCACCTTTATCATCCTGCCGTGTCCCTCTTGCCTGTGAGGCTTGCTCATTTTCTCTTTTAGGATCCTTCACTGGCAGAAGTCACAACTGTATTTGCCCCCTTGATTCTTCTCCTTATACTTCCAGTAATATTGCTGGATGATCCTTAAGAAAGCCTGTCAGACCCTGGCCGGTTTGGCTCAGTGGTTAGAGCGTCAGCCTGTGGACTGAAGGGTGGGTTTGATTCTGGTCAGGGGCATGTACCTTGGTTGCAGACACATCCCGAGGGGAGTGTACAGGAGGCAGCTGATCCATGTTTCTCTCCCATCGATGTTTCTAGCTCTCTATCCCTCTCCCTTTCGCTCTGTAAAACATCAATAAAATAGAAAAGAAAAAAAAGAAAGCCTGTCAGGTTATTTGTGGGCTATGTATGCCTTTAAAAAAAAAACATTTTTATTGATTTCAGAGGGAAATGGGGAGTGAGAGAGAGAAACATCGATGATGAGAGACAATCATGGATCAGCCTCCTGCACACCCCCTCACTGGGATCAAGCCCGCAACCTGGGCCTGTGCCCTGACTGGGAATTGAACTGTGATCCCCTGATTCATAGGGCAATGCTCAACCACTCAGCCATACTGTTCGGGCATATGTGTGTTCTCGATAGGAGCTCAACTCTATAGTCTTCAGTCAGGATTATACTTCAGCAGACATTTTATTCTGGTGCCTTGTACCAGAGTATTGCTGTTGGCGAGATGCAGAGATGTGGATCGGATCTGCAGGTCATTGAACAGCTGTACTAAGATTGACAGGTCAGAATCCAGTTGGAGCAGTGTTGGTGGTATAGTGGTGAGCATAGCTGCCTTCCAGAATCCAATTGGAGAGAGCCTGGTGTGCTGTTTGGGTCCTGTCTTTGGTCCTGGCCCATCAAAGATGCTTTTCAGTGTCGTAGGTAAACCATGAGAGGTCTGATTATCAGTTCTGTAGATGACATGAAGTTGAGAGGTCCAGCTAATACATCGATTGACAACATAAAGCCTTTAATTAAGCTTTAAAGACTTTATAAGGAGATGAATAAGCATTGAGAGAAAAAGGATTATAGTGGGCATAGAATAGAAATAGTATGGACAGACATAGCTTTTACTTTTAGTACTCAACTTACTTTCTTTGCTTGGCTAATTGAATATCTAAGTTTATCATTGAAATTCGTTTGGTACAGTTGCATGGCTAAATTCTTTTATTATTTAATTTTAAGTTGTGCCCTTGCTTTTGTAGGAATAATACAGTTGTGAGCTCTATTTCAATTCTTTCCTCTTACCAAAAGGTTACTAATGCATAACTCATAATTTCAATTATAAAATTCCTAATTCCTAATTTGGTCCCCTCTGTGACCCAGTTAATGTCTATATAGTAACTTTATATCTATGAGTTTACTATATTTTAGCAAACAACTTTTATTGCAGTATAAAATTAATTTTTAAATGTGATTTATTGCTAAAACATTCTTTTGGATTTATGACAGATAATAAGGCATATGCAGGTGGTATATAAAACATAATAATTTATATGTATTTAGATAAATATTTTAAGTGGTTCATTTTGTTGTAATGGTTTTAAACAAAGATTGAGACATACTTTAGCTCAGATTAAATAAACTGTGAAGTTCTCGTTTAAATATGCTGATTTATTAAGAATTGTTTTATTTTTATAGGAAAATAGAAATAGTACAATTTGCTAGCCGGACACGTCAGCTCTTTGTTCGATTACTAGCTTTAGTAAAATGGGCCAATAATGCTGGCAAAGTGGAAAAATGTGCGGTGAGTTAAACTTTTTATTTTATTTTATATAAAAAAACTTTGTGGAATGTTAATTTACAATAGACAGAGATTCTAATTTTAGCTTTAACTGACATACACTGATTTGAGAAACATTACTTATGTGAAAAATATTTCTGATGATAATGTATAATATATTTCTGTAGAAGCTTAGTATTTGCTTATGGATAGAAATAAAACTAGGCAATATCTGGAGACATCATTAACCAGAAGATATTAATTAAGAGGCTTTGACTAAATGGGGGAGTGGTTAACTTATACTTGTATGATTCCTTAGTTTGCAAAGCACTCCCTTATATTTTGCCTGTTGATTCTTGACGCCCTGTGAGCATGACAGTCAGTATTTCTTATTTTACAAACGAGGAAGCAATACGTTCCCTGGAAGTTAAGCGGCTCCTTCAAGGTCACAGAGCTGATAAAGGCATATATCTGTTTGTTTATTCATCTACTCCTTCTCCAAACTTTACTGAGCACAGCTTAAGATGTTCAGTGAAAAGCTAGGTGTTACTAAAGTATATCAAACCGAAGTGTTCAGTTGTTCAGTTGTTCAAAGTGTTCAGTTGTTAAATCCCAAGTTATGGGTATTTAAGTTACCTGTTTGTTACTACTGAGGTGTGCTTCAATAACATATCAAACAAAAACCAAAACTCTTAATTTTGATATCAAGCCATATTGCATTCATCTTTCACTGATTCATAGTATAGTGTTGTTATTTATTTTGAATTGGCTATTCAAATAAGTCATTCTGATAAAGTCTCATTGAATTTATGTTGTTTCCATTTTGTGGATGTAGATACAGATGTGTTTATGTCAAAGATAAAGTTCATCAGCTAGAGAATTAGAGAATTATTTGTGTCTTGACACTTCTGTTCTCAACCTAATGATTATTCAGTGTCTTTAGAGGTGCTTGAGATTAATAGATCATGATCTTTAGCCATGCCAGACATATTACATGTATAGCTGAGTGTATAAATATAGTTTAGTCTGATTAATGTTTTATCTAAGAAAAAGAGAAATATTTCTTATTCTATTAGAGCTATTTAAAAAAACAAAAACCAGCTTTATTGAAATGTAGTTTACATACCATACCATCCACCCATTTAAAGTGCACAATTTGGTGGCTTTTAGTGTATTCACAGGAACATGCAACCATCACCGCGGTCAATTTTAGAACATTTTCATCACTTACCCTTTAGCTGTCGTCCCCAACTACCTGCCCGTAGCCCTCAGCAAGCAATAATCTGCTATCTCTATAGATTTGCCTCTCCTGAACACTTCATATAATTGAAATAATCATATGTGGGCTTTTGTGACTGTCCTTTACCAAGCATAATGTTTTCAGGGTTCACTCATATTATAGCATGTAGTGGCACTTCATTGTTTCCTGTAGCTGAATTGTATGGTGTTTGTTTATCCACTCACCAGTTAACGGCCACTTAGGTTATTTCCAATTTCTGGCTATTACGAATAATGCTGCTATAAACATTCACGTACAGCTTTGTGTGGACATGTGTTTTCATTTCCCTCGGGTGTATAGCTAGGAGTGGACTTATAGGTCATATAGTAACTCTGTGTTAAATTATTTGAGGACCTGCCAATTGTTTCCAAAACGCTTGTCCATTTGACATTCCTGCCAGCACGGTGGGAGGGGAGGGCTCCTCTCTCCCTGCGGACACTTGTTCTTGGGTGGCATTCTGATGCCAGCTGTCCTAGTAGGTGGCACGGAGCGTCTCATTGTGGGCTTTGTTTGCATTTCTGTGATGACTAATGGTTTTGAACATGTGCTCGTGGCTATTTGTATATTTTTCTTAGAGAAATATCTGTTTGGTGCTCAGTTAAATTTTAAAGGAAGATTGTTAGCCATATTAGCAGCTGGTATGTGAGTACTTAAAAGAAAAAAATCGAACGTGCTGATATTAGGGGCCTACATGGAGTCACTAATAAGTTACTCAGAACTAAAAGTTTTCATCTTTCTGCATTTGATTTCCAAGACAAAGGAGTGTAGCTGGAGTTAGTATATTTTGAGTTGAGTAAGGTGGTTTAGAGTGTTTCACTAATTACCCACGTTTGGGGTAGAGGGACTTGGGCTGGATAAACTTTGGCACCCCATTGGGGTTGATGCATGTCTTCCTGGAGGCAGGTCTTGGCTGTTCTTTGGCCTTGGCTTTGGCCTGATAAGCATTTTTAGTGTCCCGAGTAAAGGGAGAATTGGGACCTAAACCTGAGTAAAAACCAGTTCAGAAGGTGAGAGAAGGCAAGATTAAAAATGGTTCTAAATATGTTAAAATCAAACACATTCCAGGCCTGCATTACGTTGGGATGGGAAAGCAGATCTTGTTTGTTAGAGATTCATAAAGATTCATGAACAAAAGATTAAGGCCTTTTAGTTAACTCCGAGCTTGCTGTGTGCTAGCAATGGCTTCTAATAAAGTGTTGGTGGCATTAATAGAAATCCATTTTACTAGTGTGGGGGCGCAAAAAAATATTCCTCCCATCTTTCTAAGTTCTTCTGATTAGGCGAATAATCATATTAACATGAGACATTAATAGGAGAAAATATCCAAATCTATTAATCTGTACCTACGGAAGTTACATAAGACTGAGACTGGAGGACGCGCTGGGCAGGGAGGTTTATATGCTATTTTGGAAAGGAGAGGGAGGCAGGGGCCTGGTGTTTCAGAGAGAAAAAGCAGGCAATTTCCAGGCAGCTGGGAAAGAGCAAGCGTGGTAAACATTCCTGCCGCCACCCAGAAACAATGGGGCGCAGAGGGCAGCCCAACAAACAGGCTCTGCCGGATTCCTCCCTGTCTGCCACATCTCATTTCCATTATGATGCTAAGGTGATGCTCCCTTTCCTTAAACAGGCTTCTCCATCCAAATTCCTTTAGACAGGCGAGGTTCTCTCCTTGTTTCTTAAAAATAACCAGCTTAAAATATCCCCCAAAGTATATGTTGGGATGGCAAAACTTGGGTCCCTTCCACTAGTCTCAGAAGTAGCACTTGCACTGCTGGGCTTTGCTGGTCTAATAGAGTCGGAAGAAACATTTGTAGATAGAGTCTCTGATTGACTGACTTTTTTTGAGCAAGTATCTTAACCTAAGCCTCAGTTTTCTTATCTCTAAGCTGATGGTGATTGTATGGTTTTGTCTGTTTCCTGGACTTGTGACAATCAGATAATAAAATGTGTGGAAATGCTGAGAAAGTGTAGGGCATGATGTGGTATACATTCTGGATGCCGTATTTAAGTTGGCCACTGCCATACAAGCATCTGCAGGTAGTGGGACAAGGATGGGAGTCGGGAATTTGGAGATGTGAAGACTAATGGAAGTGACGTGGAATTGTTAGCTTGAAAATAGGTTAGACGTCCCCGATTTGAAGGGCATGAGAGACTTAAGTATTGTTCCAGAATAGAAGTAGGAGATAGAAGTTTCAAGGAAATAGATTTCAGCTTTGTGACGAGCCTAGAGCCCCGATGCCCTTTTGAAAGGCAGCATTGGGCATAAAGTTGACCTAGATCTCATACTGAGCTATGTTTATTGCGTATTTTATATGTTCTAGGCACTGCTCCAAAGGTTTCATATGCATTAACTCTTTTTGTTGTTGTGTTACTCCTCACCGGAGGATATTTTTCCATTGATCTTTAGAGAGTGGAAGGGAAGGGGAGAGACAGAGAGAGAAACATTGATGTGAGAGAGACCCATTGATTGGTTGCCCCCTGCACTTACCATGAACAGGGCTGGGGATAAAGTCTGCAAATGAGGTGTGTGCCCTTGACTGGAACTGAACCCGGGACTGTTCAGCCTGTGGGCGATACTCTATCTATTGAGCCAAACCAGCGAGGGCTGCATTAACTCTTAATCCTCAGAACAGCCTCATGAGGTTGGAAATCATCTCCATTTCACAGTTGAAAAAACTGAGGTGCAGAGGGATTGAGTAACTTCCCCAAGGTTATAGGGTCAGTTAAGTTACAGAGTTAGCATTGAGACCAAGGTCGTCTGGGTCCAGGAGTCCACACTTCAATGCCAATTGTTAAAAATTTTAACTGAAAGTCTTTTTGAAAGAGATGGTTTGCCATTTATTAGGCTATTGCTAGCAAATAAACAAACAAACAAACAAATAAATAAGACTGTCTGGGGCAGGGAGTCTAAACCACCAGCAACATGACTAGGTAGGAAAGACAGACATGTCTATCCTGGAGTTTTGCCAGTGGTTGCATACAGCAAGTTGGGGGTGGGGAAGATGTAAGCCATTCTGAAAGGCTGTCCATTCGCTGTAGAGAAAGGGGTGGGGGAAGGTGTAGCTAGGGCTAATTCCATGACTGTAAAGCTCGTGTGTCAACAAGAGGAGGAGGTTCTTGGGGTTCAAGGTGCCTGGCTCTTCTCTCTTTTTAGATAATCTCTGAAACAGCCAGCTGGCAGTTTATCTAATAATCCCAACCTACACTAAGGAGTCTGCGCAGCCTTTAGTCGGTTTTGCACTGCACCTAACTGGTTGACCCCCCTTTCTGTCCCTTCCTTCCACCCTCTGGCCTTCTGGAAGTTAATTTAGGACATCTCAGCATTTTCTCCTTGTCGCCAACCAACTCCAGAAGTCTATAAGAGTAGTAAAAAGGATTTTATTCTGTTTATGTTTTCTAATGTGATAGTGTGTATCTGGAATGTTAAGGATGAAGAAATGAATTAAATTAATAGAAGGTTCTTGCTTTCAAAAAGATACTGGGGGAAATTACTTTTTAATAATTTCTCTTTTTTATCCTCACCTAAGGATATATTTTGTTTTGTTTTTAATTGATTTGAGAGAGAGAGGAAGGGAAGAGAGAGAGATATATCGATGTGGGAGAGAACCGTCAGTCAGCTGCCTCCCACAGCATCCCACGGCGCACCACCTTTTGGTGCGCTGGATGACGCTCTAACCAAGTGAGCCACACCAGCCAGGGCTGGAAATGTTTAGAAGAAATATTTTATAACAGCAAATACCTATATTAATTCCCCTTGAAGTTTACTCTGAAAGGAATCAATGATATTTGAAGTGAAAAGTTGCTGGTTTCCAAGGAAGCGTAATTAATGCATTTACCCTTTGCTTTAAAGATGATCTCGAGCTTTTTAGACCAACAAGCCATCTTGTTTGTGGACACTGCTGATCGCTTGGCCTCATTAGCTAGAGATGCCCTGGTCCATGCACGCCTTCCTAGTTTTGCCATCCCGTATGCCATTGATGTATTGACTACTGGGTCTTACCCACGGTTGCCAACCTGCATTAGGGTAAGTATATTCTCTCCCACCAACCCCATTCTTAAAAGCTGACGGCTTTGGCATTGGAACTACTACAATATCAAGTAGACCACCAAAAACCTTCATACTTTCACAACAAATATTTACTTGCTTTTTCCTGTATAACTAAAATTGCGTTTTGTTTAAGTAAATTGGGGTCAGAATGTGAGCAGCCATGAAAATGGGTGGATCACTTGTTTTCGCTGAGGGAGGGCAGATATGCAGGTGTAACTTACATTTATTTCCCATATGAAAATACTGCATGCTGCTTGCTTTTGGGAAGTGTTTTAAATGTACTGTGCTGGTTTTTGACTGCCTTAGTAGCATTGTATTTTATACTTTTAAGCAGCGGTGGACATCATCTCGTGGCAGTAAGGTGGTTTCATAAACAGAGCAGGAAGAAGATCGTGTTGCATGACCGTCTTAGCGGGGTGACTGGGGGAATCACGAGGCACTCTAATGCATGAGAATAAAGGTCACTATTATTGGCTGTAGAAGGCAGGAATGAGTGTTAAGATTCTCTTGGGTAAAGTAAGAACATACTATGTTAAGAAGACACAGCTAAAAAGTATGCCCCTTTGTACATTATTTTAAAATCACTTAAATTTTTTTGAAGGACAAAATTATTCCTCCAGACCCGATTACCAAAACTGAGAAACAAGCCACCCTTCACCAGCTGAACCAGATCCTTAGACATCGGCTTGTAACCACCGATCTTCCGCCTCAATTAGCAAATCTTACTGTTGGTATGTACCTGAAGGCTCTCATTTTAAGAATTGTTGGAATTTTTTTTTAAGCTTTTGGGATTTTATTAAAAGAAATGTCACTACGATGTTTTGCCCTACAATTCTGGTGGTGTTTGAACCTGTGGCTGCTCAGCCCTGCCGTTTATTTCTCTTTTATGACCTGGAAACAGGGATGGTATTTGAAGCTGACAGGCGGTGAGATCACTGTTGCTCCTTGATGCTGGGAGAGTTGCCTTTGGTTGCTTAATGACCCAGAACGTGGCTACTGCTTATGCAGGGACCACTGATTGTTCGAACATTTGTGAAAAAACATTCCATCTATTTACAATTTCTTATATGCAAGACTGAAGGTTCCGGGTTAGCAAAGAGCTGCTTACTCTTTTTTCTTTTTTTTAGCAAAGTAGACTTACTCTTCTTCTTTTAAAAGCAAATGGCCGGGTGAAGTTTCGAGTTGAAGGAGAATTTGAAGCCACCTTGACTGTAATGGGAGATGATCCTGAGGTTCCATGGCGTCTTCTCAAGCTAGAGATTCTAGTAGAGGATAAGGAAACAGGAGGTAAATCGTAAATATGGATTGAAATCCTAAGTATTGATTTAAATGTTGGAGTTTTTATATCATTGAAACATTTTGGCTGAATAATAAATATGGTTAGCAATTTATCCTGTAATTTGAAGCAGATTTTATGGTAATCATAGTTACCTACTGACCTTAGAGATATCAGCGTTTAAGTATATGTTCTCTAGTTTCCATAGATAGTTTCAGTTCTTTTTAAAAAATTTATTATTAGTTAATATATTTTTCCATAATTGGTACTATGATGATCTGTATGCTTTTCTGATTAACCACTTTGTTTTCTCCTGTGAATGGAAGATGGACGAGCCTTGGTTCATAGCATGCAAATCAACTTTATCCATCAGCTGGTACAATCTAGGCTCTTTGCTGATGAGAAACCTCTTCAGGACATGTACAATTGCCTGCGTATCCTTCTGGAATTTGAGACACATGTTTAGAAGGAATTGTGTCTCGTCTCCTTCTCACCTCCGCATTTCCATCTGCCCCTCATCTTAAACCGTAGCAGCCAAACTCTCCCCATCCACTGTTTTGGGTAGAAATGGGGCTGGGGAAACTATTCAGTGTGAAGGATAGTAACCTGAAGTAAACCAAGTTGTGAATTTACTATTGACTTTGCGTGTAAAATAAAAAATGATGAATTAGAAGTAGTGCTATTTGGAGAAAAAATAGTACTCTGGTCTACCCATATTCTCTAAACCATGATGAATTAAGGGGTAACTTAATGGTTCGTTTATATTGGATCAAAATTAAATACACATTTTTCTAAAACTATGCCACAAATGATGCCACTTTTTAGGATAAGCCATTGGCGAAATATAATTCCAGAAATTTCTTTCAGAACCAGTTCTTCGGAATAGAGCTTTTGTTAACTGAAGTTTGCTTGTACTTCGTTGGCTGTTGTAGTAATATGTATCGTATTTGCTTAACGAGATCCATCAGATTCTTTTTGCTTGTCACTTCAGTTAGAAGTGCTACATTCCCAAACTCTGATGTTAATCCGGGAGCGGTGGGGAGACCTTGTGCAGGTGGAAAGGTACCATCCTGGGAAGTGCCTCTCCCTCTCCGTCTGGAAGTAAGTAAAGCTGGCTCTGGCGGGTTCCAGCTCTGACTGTAAACACTCTTTGTTTCTCTTTCTCTCTCGTACATCTGATGCACTGTATGCTGACAGCTGTGTGCCTCCCACAATGTGCTTTTGTGTAGTAAGGCCCCATGGTATCATAGAAACTATAGAGGACATCTGTAAAGGACAGCTTTCTTAGAACGTGGCATGTTTTAAGTATGTAGACATCTATCTGTATTAAGACTTACTCTTAAAAAGTGAGATGATTCTGGGCTCATACCAGATTGCTAAGAGACTTAGATTATTGGATATTGTTTTAAAAACAAACCTGCTTGCTTATCACAGCTTTACATTTTGAATTGCTACTTTTAACATCTTTTTGGGGGAGGGTTTTGGGAAAAATTAGTATCGAGCTGCTTACAGTCCCAGTTTCCTATTTGAACTTTGCTTGATCCCCATTTTCTGGAAAGGAATCCGAGATGAAGAGATATCACTTAGAATACAGTTTGTTCTTTTGGGATTTTTTAATTTACTTGTATGCATGTGTTTTATTTTTAAATTCCGTGGGTGTGTTTTTTGGTTTGTGGGGTTTGTGGATTTTGTTTGTTTTTTTTGGATGCAGTAAATCAAATATTGTGTTTGATTACAGAATAGCTGTCTTCCCAATAGTAATGTATTCCCTCCACAAACAGTGAGGGACTGCCTTGTTCTGGCCTCTGGCTAAGGCACACAATGGATTGCCTCTACTTCATTCCACAAGTTAACAGGCGTTGAAAAAATTGTATATTTTCTCTCTTTAGTCAACAGGTTCTTGGGAGAAAAACAGGAACGGCATCTGTTCACAAGGTTACAATTAAAGTCGATGAGAATGATGGCTCGAAGCCTTTACAGATTTTTCATGATCCTCCTTTGCCAGTTTCTGATTCCAAATTAGTAGAAAGAGCCATGAAGGTAGAGATCTCAATATATTTTAATATTGGTTTAATTAAATGGATATAATGTAACATCATTTATACTTAAACTTTTAGTGTAAATTCTTTAAATTACCTAATTCTTCCTAATACCCTTTATGGAACTTGTTTTAAATGACTGTTACGCTTCTGCATTTGTTATTTTTTAAATCTAATATCGAATATTATAATTAAAAGATGTTCTTTCATATTTGATAATTTTGATCAGATCATCATTTTGTTTTTAAGGCCATTTAGTCTATGATAACTGATACATATAGTATCTTGATCTATACTCAACAGAATGTTACGTGTAGTCTTTAAGCTACCAGTACCACATGTTTACTTTTTTACTTTAACTTTGTGCTTAATCATTGTGATTCTAAAAGGAAATATCTTGAAGCACAATAATCTGCTCAAGCTTTCAAGTAAAAATGTCTAAATTGCACGTGCGATTCTGTTGTTCTTGTCTCTGCAGATTGACCACTTATCAATAGAAAAGCTCCTGATTGACAGCGTGCGTGCACGAGCGCATCAGAAGCTCCAGGAACTGAAGACCATTCTTAGAGGCTACAATGCCAATGAAAACTGTAGGTGCTTTTAAATGGGCGTCTTCGTCTTTCTTTCGTTTACATTAGTATTCCTTTTATTTTCCGAAGGGTCAATCTTAACATGCCCTCTTTCCTGCTGTATAGTGTTGTTGTGAAGGTGGGACATGCTTGCATTTTAACCTGTGATCTACCCAGCTTGTCCTAACTTTTCCCTTATTTTCTTTTGATTCGGCTTGGCCTTACTTTTGAAATGCATGCATATTAACCCTCCTTAAAATTCTTTTTTTCCTATTAGAATGGAAGCTATTTTAACATTTTAATCTGAATTTTATTTCTTTTAGGTTTTCTCCTAAGGTTAAGGCAGCTTTGCAAATGTTTATAATGTAGTTATAAAACATGCCTCTTTGAAGCAGAATGTATGCTTTGTCCTTTAAAACCTTTTTTGAATTGTTAACACATTAACAGGGTTCAAAATAAGAAATACAGAGAGACACTCAGTGAAAAATCGTCTTCCAGTTACCTAGTAGATTCAGAGCTTTGGAAGATAGTCATTTAGAAAGTAAGTACTTTTCGTTCTAGAAACACAGTTTCACGGTATCATTATGGGCATCTGTACTGTCCCCGCCCTAGTTGTTGGCTGTGACTACCTGTGCCCACAGTGAGCAGCCTTTAAGTGAGATGAGTTGAAGTCCCATATAAGTAAGAAGTCCTAATGGCGCGAGCAGCAAAAGGAATGCGTTTCATGATCACAGAGCCCACCGCAACCCATTATCCTTCCAAAGGTCCAGACTAGTCACACTGGAATGAACTGCTCTGATGAAGTAGAGAGAAACTGCCTGAAGAAAAGACAGGAAGTCGGGAAAATAAATTTGTGTTTAGAAAACATAATCTCCAAGGAAGGTGAAAAAGAGGATCTGAGACAAGCTAAAAGAGGAAGGGTAGCTTACCTTAAAAAGCAAATGTGAGCCTTAAAGAAATAGAGGGTGTGGCGGGCTCTGGCAAATGGAGCGGTTCCATCTACTTTGAGGGGGCGTGTCCTTTAACCCCATCAAGTTTAGCATTAGATTTCTCAGGTTTTAAATTTAAATTTAATTATAAGATGTAGTGTAAATTGCCCCCCCTCTCCCATTTTAATCCCTCAAGCAATGTAACTAAATACAAACCTAAAATTTATGATTGGAAAGCATAATTAAAACTTGCATTGGACCCTCCTTTTTTTTAAATTTGCTTTATTGAGATACTAGTATGTGGGGAGTGTCCCTCAGCACCCTCTCCAATCTGGGATCTCTTAGGAGACATCCCTCTCTCAATCTGGGACTGTTGGCTCCTAACCGCTCACCTGCCTGCCTGCCTGATTGCCCCTAACCACTCTGCCTGCCAGCCTGCTCGCCCCAACTACCTCTGCCTCTCCCTCGCCACCATTGCTTTGTTTGGAAGGATATCCAGAAGGTCTCCTGGTCTAATTAACGTATTACCCTTTTATTAGTATAGATAATTCACATATAATTCACTCATTCTGTGTTTTTTTTAATATATTCAAAGAGTTGTGCAACCATTACCACAATCTAATTTTAGAACAATTTATCATCCCCGAAGGAAATGATGTACTCATTAGCAGTCACTCTCCCATTCACCCCTCCCACCAGTTTCCTGGCAACCACTAATCTATTTCTGTCTATAGAATTGCCTTCCGGGACATTTCAGAGTAATATCACATATATGTTCCTATGAATGGAATGGCTGGGTCATATAGTGACTCTGAATGTTTTACCTTTTGACATGTTTAACACCTATTTTTTATTCCATTACTAGCACGTGAGGATTCTAGTTTTTCCCACATCCTCACCAATACTTGTTATATTGTCTATCTTTGTTTCTAGCCACCCTGGTCGGTGTGAAGTGGTATCTCATAGTGGTTTAGATTTGCATTTTCCTAATGATTGTTGAGCATCTTTTCACTTACCTTTTTTGGAGAAATGTCTATCCAGATCTTTTGCCCATATTATACTTAGATTAATTATCTTTTTATAACAGTTCTTCATTTAAGTTCCTTTTCATGTATCATGATTTGCAAGAATTTTTTTTCATTCCATCAGTTGACTTTTCACTTTCTAAATGGTATTGTTTGTAACACAAGTTTTTAATTTGGACAATGTCCAATTTGGCTATTTTTTCTTTTTTTTTGCTTGTGCTTTTGGTGTCAAACCTAAAGAATCCATTATTTAACCCAAGGTCATGAAGATGTACTCTTGAGTTTTCTTCTAAGAGTTTTATAGTTTTAGTTCTTACTTTCAGGTAGGGATCCAAATGAGTTTTTTGTTTAGGGATATGCAGTTGTCCTAGTAACTTGTCTAATTTTTCTTATTTCTAATTTTTCAAAATAGAGAAATTCTAAAATTTCATTTGTTGGGATTGCAGAAAATAGGAGTTTGTGATCTTGTGATAGGCTCTGGTTAACTTTAGTGTCGTCTGTAAACAAGGTTAGTAAGTAAAAACACTCAATATGATTGCCCAGGGGATATTTAAGTTACTTGGAAAAATAGACTGTACGCCTGTGTTTACATAGGAAGTTCTGTTTGAATAAGTCACGGAGGTTTTTCTGTAGCAGCATTTTGTAGCGATGTCACTACTTGAGTTAGCTGCCAGAAGACCTGAGCTCAGCTGCGTGTCCTGAATGACCACACTCTTTGGGCCCCGTTCTCCTCTCTCGTCATTAGAGGATGTGCAGGCTCTTCCGGGATCTCTAACTCTAGCGAAAGTGTGGTTTTCCAGCCGGGGTGCGTGTGGAGGCCTCAGTGTTGGAGAAAGGTGCTTAAGAAGGAGCTGTAGAGGGGAGGGAGGTGCTGGCATGTGGGGTTGGAACTCTGTCCTCCTTTAGTCAGACAGTCCTGGAAATGAGAACCGCAACAATAAAGGGCCTGCGGACCCACCGTCTTAGGACATATGCTTTACCTTGTGTTTGTTGTTGTGTTCCTGGACCCTTCCATCTGCAGGCCGACGCTCTATCCACTGAGCCACAGCAGCTAGGGCTTTACTTTGTCTTTTAAATTCATGTTCATGCGTTTATACTCCTCATGTAGTCTTCCTGGATCTCTTCTGTAAAGCCTGCTTTAGTCAGATCCCGGCCTGGGACCAGGGTTGTTCTTGGAATCCCTTCTGCAGCCCTCTTCAGCACCTGGCTTCTCCTCCAGCGCCTCGCTGGCATCATCTGAGGACACGAGCAGCTCAGAGAGTGGAGCATCCCAGGGCTTGGCTAGAAGGCACAGACAGCAGGGCGTGTGTGGCCAGGTGGCAGTCTGTGGGTTCTGACCGGTGGGAAGTGGGGGCGGGCGGAGGCTCCGGGAAAGCAGGCAGGGTTTTGGAGAGAAAGTGAATGAAATGCCCCATTAGCAGCGTTGCCTGACTTGAAAACTGGGGTGCTCTCCTTGGGTTGTGCTCTGTCAGCACTGGCATTGGGTGTCCCGGTCAGTTCCGAAGCTGTGAAGCACACAGCCGTTCCTAATTGTGCCCACTTGCTTGTCTTCTGTCTTCCCCCTTCATGTTGCTGTCTGCTGGTGCCTTCCTCATGCTGTCCTCAGTGAAAAGAGGGAGGAACAAGAGGAAATCTGTACATACATCGCTGTTGCAGGCAGTAGTCCCTAGTCCTGTCATCTTGTGCAGCCTGTAATTCCCCTTCTATATTTTATTCGCAGGGCTCTTCATTTTTGGATAACTTAACAGCTGTTGCCTTTAAGTGCGTAGGGCCTTATCTATTTTATTTTATGGACATTGGTGGTCATAAAATATGTCCAGAGATAGACATCAAAGCATTTTCTATCTGTTGGACTGTGTTGTGTATTCTCCTTTGATACCCTGTCTTTTCAAGAACGCTCCGTTTTCATAATCAGATTGAAGTCATAATGGTTATCCCAGTTGTCAGAACTAGTTTTACTCCATTGCTACACTTCAAAAATGTTTTTGCTTTAAGGAATATATCTCTGCCTCATTAGGAATTAGAACAGTACAGATAAGTTTTAAAGTCAGCAACCCTGCTTCAAGTCTGTAAGTACTTTTTATTTTACTAACAGTCATTTCAGCAGAACGTGAACTAATTTGGAACACTGTTCTGAATTATAAAATGTGGTAAAGAAATTCCTGTGGGTGCCTTTTTGTTCTGTTTTTTATCTGTTTTTAGGTGAGAGTTCTGCTGGGTCTGCTGTTAAACATTGTATATAGAGATGTACCACATATACTTGAAAGCAGCTTGTTTTCATCTGACTGTCTTTCCTTTTTTTGCTTTATTAATTTGTTCGATAATTTGTATAGATAGTACCAAGGGTAACTTCCCTCATTTTAATTATTGCAAATTCACAATGAGATGTTTTGGTTTGTCTCTTTGACTCATAAAGGTAATCTACCTTGTTAATCACGTTGCTTTTTAAGCCACCTTTACAAACTGGTCACTTTTTCCTCCTAAGGACCCCTGGCATGGACAGCAAGATGTTATTGTCCTTGTTTAACACAATAGCACAGAGAAGCCACACCTGAGGGAGGGCTGGGCCTCCATGTCCTCTCCGCCCTCTGTCTTTCTCCGTGCTAGCCTTAGAAATGGGCCGCCAGAGAGCACATTCCTCTCCCAGCTCCCCTCTGATCCCATCAGCTGGGTGCTCTCAGTGCTTTGCTCTTTCTTGCTCTGTCCTGCCAGCTTGTGGGGTGAAGGGGAAGGGTCATTAGGCCTGCTGGAAATGCTGAGAACCCCGAGAACAGGTGCATTGGCAGCTTTGGGAGTTTGTGTATAGAAGTTGCCTATGTCCTTATTTTATATGTGACTTGAAAATGAGGCACATAAATAATGAAAAACATTTTTATGTATAATTAGTAATGTTTAATAATTCTCACGTGTGGTTTGTTTTCTAAACACATGGGCCCTAATTGCCAGAAAACCTTTCTTTATGAAGAGTGGCATTGAGAATATTTATGCCGCCCTGACCGGTGTGGCTCAGTGGATAGAGAGTCAGCCTGCGGATTGAGGGTTCCTGGGTTTGATTCCCATCAAGGGCATGTACCTTGGTTGCGGGCACATCCCCGGTGTGTGTGTGTGTGTGTGTGTGTGTGTGTGTGTGTGTGTGTGCATGTGCAGGAGGCAGCTGATCAATGTTTCTCTCTCATCGATGATGTTTCTAACTCTCTATCCTTCTCCCTCTCTGTAAAAAATAAATAAAAAATATTTTAAAGAAGAGAAACTATGCCGTAGATGAAACTTCTTTGATTTACCAAACAACTGATTTGCTTTGCACTATATAAAAGAAAATCCTTAAAAATTAACTTATTGGTCATTCATAGTGAAAGTAAAACTAGGACCCAGCTCACTGATGGGGTTAAATTCCCCCTGGCTATTTTAATGCTTTTTAAGGCCCTCTGGGACTTCTTTGCTATAATATTTGAGTTGGGCATATTTGTTTTACTCCACTTTGAAGATCACATTCTTCCTTTTGAGCGCCTAATTGCCTTCATGCATCCTAATTTTGCAAAAATCATGTTTTTCTTCTGTCAGGATTGTTTAATAGTTGACTTGTTTCTAGTCTCTGAGATATATACATATATTTTTAAATGCTCAGATAGAAATATAATTTTTAATTCTAACTGTTCAGCTTCCATAGAGACTGCACTTCCAGCTCTTGTTGTTCCCATCTTGGAGCCCTGTGGTAATTCGGAGTGTCTACACATTTTTGTGGATTTGCATTCTGGAATGTTCCAATTGATGCTTTATGGACTTGGTAAGTTAGTAAATGCTGTAGTCATTCAATGTAAGGAAAACTACTTTTAACAAAAGCAGAATCAAAAATTTCTGCCACTAGATATTGAGAAGAGCGGATGAGCAGTGAAGAGAGGAGTAGATATGAAAAGAATAATTGGCTGACATCTGTTCCTTGGGGCCCATTTTAGCTCCACTTTGGATTTTCTTGTACCAGAAGTTAAACTTCCCAATATGAACTACATTCACGTTGCTTCTCTTACATAAAAGTCATAATGTTGATGGCTGATGTGGTTCAGATGTAATGATTTTACCACTAATAGTTGGGAGACATGAAGATGGCCACGAGGGATTCTCGTGTCATTCATGGCTGTAAACATCTAAGATAAGTTGAGGTACAGGATCCTGGAGGAAAGGTTTTTTTCTGGCTTAAATACAGTAGAAATTAAAGTTTGATTTCTTACATGTTCTGTTACTGAGCTGGCGTTCTAAAATGGTAAACTACTAGGAACTTAGTGCTGTTGTATTGCCAATGGAACATTGCTCTTGAGCATATTAGCCCTTTGCCATTTGAAATGAACATTAAGCTACACAGATTGCTGAAAATAAAAGCTTTTCTAGTTCTGTTGTATGGCTATAAAGGTAGCTTTTTCTACCAGCTGCTGGTGGAGTACTGGCCGCATTACTTTGAATGACATCACATGTGTGATGGCTGAATGACAAGTGACACATTTATGAATTACCTTCCAACTATGGCTCCAAACCAACCAGGCAATTGTTGTTTGCTCTTAAAAACTTTACTTAACTGTTTTGTTGATTATTAACACAGTAATACTCATCAGTAAAAACCTAAACGTGTAAAAATGAGAGAAGTAAACAATAGTTTCTCTTGGCAGTCATTGTTATTTTAGTGTATCTGCTTATCTTACTTCTCTCAGGCTGCCATAACAAAGAGCAGAGCGAGCGGCTTGCGCACAGAATGCGTTTCCTCCCAGTGCTGGAGGTCAGAAGTCTGAGAGCAGGTGGCCAGACGGCTGAGTTATAGTCAGGGCTCTCTTCCTGGCCTTCTCACTTGTTCTCACGTGGCAGGAAGAGGGAGAGAGCAAGCTCCCTGGCCTTTCTTATAAGGGCACTAACCCCACCAGGAAGCCCCCAACCTTAATCTGAGCCTAGTTTTTTCCTGAAGGCCCTGCCTCTGCTATCACCGGCAGGTAGGGGAATACAGTTCAGTCCATAGCAGTGTTTTTTTCTTTTTTTTGTATTTTTTTTCTTTAGTTGAAATCATTTTATATTTAGCTTTTTGCTCAACATTCTATTATTAGCATTATCTAGTGTCGTTAAAAATTCTAAGTGACATTTAGTATGCTAATCTTCAGCCAGCAGCTCTTGTTTATGCCAGAGACCATTTGTGTTTAATAAGTATTAAAATGGAATTTTATAGTTTTTATATAAATTTTAAAGTTCTTCGTCTAGTAATATTAAGAGCTTTCAATATAGATAAGTTAAAAATATCAATTGACTTAAGAATTTTGGGAATTAAAATATAGGCAAAGAATTAATTCATGTATTTGTTACTTATTCTTATTGCAAGTATACATTTGCTATTAATTAGTTGTCTTAACTATAACTCTCCCTAAATGTTAAAGAGGAAAAACAGATTAGGTTAATTTATGCCTAATGATGCATTTAGTTTAGATTTTTTTCTAACTCCAAAGTAACACTCCTTTCTGCCTAAAACAATAATTTCATTTAAGTTTTGGGCTATCTAGATATTTTGTGTCTTGTACAAGTAATTAATTATAATGCTTTATTTTGTAGATCAGGCCACTTTGGATGACATGGAGAAGTCTGTAAATGATGATATGAAACGGATTGTTCCTTGGGTTCAACAACTTAAGTAAGCTTAATTATTTAGCTCAATACTAAAAATGGAAACTTTTTTCCCCCCAATATATTTTTATTGATTTTTTACAGAGAGGAAGGGAGAGAGAGAGCTAGAAACATCGATGAGAGAGAGTCATCAATCAGCTGCCTCTTGCACACCTCCTAGCAGGGATATGCCCGCAACCAAGGTACATGCCCTTGACTGGAATCGAACCCGGGACCTCTCAGTCCCCAAGCCAATGCTCTATCCATTGAGCCAAACCGGTTTCGGCTAAAAATGGAAACTTTTAAAAAATATATTTTTATTGATTTCAAAGAGGAAAGGAGAGAGAGAAATATCAGTGATGAGAGAATCATGGATCGGCTGCCTCCTGCACGCCCTACACTGAGGATCAAACCCAAGACCTGGGCACGTGCCCTTGTCTGAAATCAAACCCTGGACCCTTCATTCCACAGGCTGATGCTACCCACTGAGCCAAACTGGCTAGGGCAAAATGGATACATTTTCCCCATCATTGCTTTTTTTAAATATATTTTTAACCCTGATCGGTGGATAGAGTGTCGGCCTGCGGACTGAGGGGTCGTGGGTTCGATTCCAGTCAAGGGCATGTACCTTGGTTGTGGGCACATCTCCAGTGGGGAGTGTGCAGGAGGCAGCTGATCGATGTTTCTCATTGATGTTTTTAACTCTCTATCCCTTTCCGTTTCTCTCTAAAAAAATCAATAAAATATATAAAAAATATTTTTATTGATTTCAGAGAAGAAGGGTGAGGGAGAGAGGGATAAAAACACCAATGATAAGTGTGAATCATGGATCAGTTGCCTCCTGCGCACCCCTCCACTGCAGATGAAGCCTGCAGTCCAGGCCTGTGCCCTGACCAGAAATCTAACCGTGACCTCCTGGTTCTTAGGTGGATGCTCAACCACTGAGCATGCCGGCCGGGCTCCATTATTGCTCTTGGTCAGTCCTTAATGTTTATGACATGAAGCTTGAACACCTTTTAGTACTAAATGGTCAAATCTAAATTCTCTTGGAATAGGTCCAGGATGGCAGTGCTTCGTATTAAATTCCCCTCTAGAGCAAACGGAGGTATGAAGGGCATGGCGTTCAACTTGCGTTCTTGCCACTTTTTCTCTTGCACAAGCACGCAGCACGGGAATTTTATTGGAGCTCGTATCTCTGCAATAGTGTCTTATTTGTTCTTATCCAGGATATGCATCTACCAGCTGACACTTCCAAAATAATCATTCCTACTTCTCTGATACTATCGTTCAATTTGTCTCAAAATCCTTTGAATGCTTCATGCTGTGAAACTAAATAAAATGGAAAACTGAGCTAGAGATAATCCTTGAAGGTTTCATTAGCACTCTAGTTCACACAGGTATCATTATAGCAACTCTAGCAAACTCTCTTAAAATTAGTAAATCAACAAAAATTCCAAGAGAGAAATATAAATTTTAGAGATCAAGGCTAGAGCTGGCAAATGGAGAAGGGGCGGATCTATTGCTTTTGTGATCTTCTAGCCTACCTCTTCCCCTTTGGAAGTTTTAGGTGGTAAAAATTCAAACATTTTGATATCAAGTCATTTTTCTCATTAACGGGACATGATTTTAAATGCCAATAGAGAGATGAACCTTTTTTTTTTTTTTTTTACATGAGCCTTTTGAACGGCTGTTTAGTTTGTATGTGAAAAATGATAGTCATTACTCTAGATAACAATTTCTAAACTTTTTGTGGTTTAGCATCATTTTTTGTACATTTTAGCTAAACAAGCAAGGTTTAAATACTTAAATGCTTCATAATTCACATTTTGCATAACTTAAGGTTATCTGGCAGTTACAGCCTGCCGAAATATAACTAAAACCAGATAGCTAAACCCCAAAAGCCTTAAACTCACATATGTGATTATAGGAAAGGTCCCCTGGTCCGGCCAGGTGCCTTAGCTGGTTGGAGCACCATCCCGGTCACCAAAAGATGGCAGGTTTGATTCGGCTTAGGGCACATACCTAGGTTGTGGGTTCGAACCCTGATTGGGGTGCATACGGGAGGCACCTGATCTATGTCTCTTTTCCTACCTTCCCCTCTCTTCCTTCTTCCCTTCCTCCGGCTAAAATCAATAAAAACAGGCTCAGATGATGATTTAAAAAAAAAAAAAAAAATCCTCTGGTTGTCAGTTATACTGTTTCTCAAATGATCTTTGATGAATAACCAGTTCGTCACTAATTTATCATGGAACATTAATTTTTTTGAAATAACCATTGAAGTATAATTTGCTTATCATAAAATTCACCCTTTTTAAGTGTGCAATTCAATGACTTGTAGTAAATTTACTGAGTTTACAACCATAGCCACAATCCAGTTTTAGAACATTTTTTATCACCTCCAAAAGGTGCTCATTCACAGTTCATTCCCATTCCCAGCCTCGGCCTCAGGCAAGTCTGAGCCTACTTTTCATTTCTGCAGATTGTCCTTTTCTGGACATTTCAAACAAATGCAGTCATAAAGTATGTGATCGTTTCTGACTGGCTTCTTTCACTCAGCATAACGTTAATCAGAAAATTGTATGATTTTATGATGTGGATTACCTTTTTTAAATTAAGGTTTTGGCTTGGACAACAGCGTTGCAAACAATCTATAAAGCATCTGCCTACAATAAGCACTGAAACATTGCAGCTGTCCAATTACTCAACTCATCCTATTGGAAAACTTTCTAAAAATAAGCTGTTCATTAAACTCACTCGCCTTCCGCAGTACTACATTGTAAGTATGCAAAGGGGGTTTTGGGTGGTGCAGTTCAGTGGTTCTGTCAGTGTCTTCAATGATATATTGTTTAAGTTCATTTGCAAATGTATTTTATTGGGTAACTGACTTTTGTATAGTGATTCTAAACCCAGGAGGGAGGAAGAAGGGTAGGGTTGGGGGAGAGAGGAAAATTCTAAGAAATTTTATAATGTGCAGGCAGGCTAGGGGAATATAAGATATATCCCCATTTCTCACCCATTCTGATATGGGATGGTATCTTACTGCAGTCTTAATTTGCGCTGCCCTCATGACTGATGATGTTCAATATCTTTTCATATGCTTATTTGCCATCTGTAGATCTTCCTTGGTGAAGTGTCCATTTTACTTTTAATTCTTCCATTTCCTCGGGAGTATCAGTGTGATGCTTAGGTGTTGGCCAATTTCCTGAAAAGAATATCTGGGGAGGGAGAGGAGAGGTAGGTGAGAGATAAGAAAGTGCTGGTCAAGAGCTTTGCCTAAGGGCATTTCTTTCTCTCACTAAAGTATTGAGGAGACTTTGCTTAAATTTCAGGTAGACCTTGAAAATGGTAAGTACTGAGGGTTAGAACAAGTGGTCTCTAGAGCCAAACTTCTGGGATCAGAGTGTGAATCCGTCGCTTCATAGCTCTGAGACCTTGGGCAAGTAACCTAACTCTAGTGCCTCAGTTTCCTTATCAGGAAAAGGAAGATAATTTTATTTCCCAGAGTTATTAGGTTTACCCCTTTGCACAGCTGTCCCCTCTCAGGGGACATCGATATTCTAGCATATCACTCGGATGTCCCCTCTCAGGGGGGACATTGCAGTTTATTAGTGATTACGGGGAATTGAGTTAATTCAACGCACGTGTCCGCTGCAAAGTAGCATCGAGTAGCTGGTAGCCAATGTCCAGAATGGTTCGGAGTGCATATGTTAGCACCTGTCAAGTAGTTAGGACAGTGCATGGCGTATAGCAAGCTCCCTGTCATCTGGGTGATACTGTTATCATTATCCTCACAGTGGCTACATTTTGCTGTTGAAAAGACGGGGTTCATTTTTATATTCTTCCAAGTATGAGAGAGTTGTCCTTTTTTTCTGCCATAATAGTGGAATTCTTAGGAAGTTATAATGGTGAAGGGAGACAGCAGGGCAAATTGAAATAGGTAACATTGTAGAAAATCTAGCAGAGCTGCTGATCTTAAGCATAACTTTTCCCCCCCAATTTATAAGCTAAGGCAGGAATATCAAGAACATCTAATGAAAATAGTCTGCATGCCCCATTTGCTATAGTTTAAGGTTTTTACTATTGTTCTTTAGTCTAATCAATTTTTTAGAAAATTATCGATTTACTGGGTAGGAATGCTTTTTTTGGACATTGCAATTAATTAGTCTTGTTTAAAGAAAAAATACATCATTAGATTTACAATTCTAAGCCCTACTTGATATCGGGAGGAACATATCCAACCCCTATTATTTTCTGAGTTTCATTTCTTATGTGGGCCCTTTTAGGTTGTAGAGATGCTGGAGGTTCCCAATAAACCCACGCAGCTGTCGTACAAGTACTACTTCCTGTCCGTGAGCGCAGGGGAGCGTGAGGACGGCCCTGTCATGGCCCTCCTGCTGCAGCAGTTCAAGGACAACATCCAGGAATTGATTTTCCGGACAAAACCCGGGAAACCGCCCAGAACCGGCACCAAGCGCAAGGTATGCTGACATGTGCAGATAAGCACAGCGTTTGTGGGCATTAACTTTATTGTAGTCTTAGCATGTTTTTAATATGGGAAGGAATTAGATCGTTTTTAAAAGATGAGGCAGCAATAAGATTTAAGTCATAGTTGTCTACATTTTCTTGGAAATGCTTCTCTTTTAATTAATAATTAACTATACACCATTTTCCACAAGAGAACTGGTTAAATACACAATATTTACTGCTACATTTCGTGTGTTTAGGCCAGTATTTGTCCAATAAATATTTGCTGAATGAGTAAGATTTGTACTTAACCTTGAGCTTTATCGTACTTTTAACTGCCTTAACTAATTGTGTCACACACACTTTTTTTCTGTTTCTTACTTATATTCTAGCTGTCTGATGACACGTGTCCACTAGAACCTAAGAAAACCAAACGTTCAGGAGAAATGTGTGCCTTCAATAAAATCCTAGCTCACTTTGTCGCTGTGTGTGATACAAACATGCCATTTGTAGGACTTCGGTTGGAGGTAATTTTGTAACAGTTTTGGATACTCTGAATGAAGTGATTTTTCAAATGCTTTGCTAAAGCCACGTGGATTCCTTTAGGAGAATCAGAACGATTGTCAGTCTTGTTCGTCTCAGGAGGAGTGGGGTTGAAATCATCCACGTAAAACAACTCACATTATTTCATCTCTCTCATCCGAAACTGTGTGCCCTCCGCTCTTTGTGGAAGTGGAAAGCAAATTCTTGTCAGTTTTAAAACAAAAGGACAGCTTTTGAGAGCTAACATCTCGTATACCTCTCCGTGGCAGCTTTATTTAACTCTGTTAGACATGGCCAGTGGATAAAGGGGTGGCTTATTTTGAGTGGATGAAACTATATGTATTGCTTACACAGTAACAAAATGGGTTCTTTTCTGAGAAGCAGGTCAGAAAGAATCTTAAACTGAATTTACTTTTGTCACATGGAAGAGGCGTAGACTTGCGCAATATTCGTGTTTTTCAAGAATACACAGTTGTATCATCCAGCATGACCCCCAAATGCGAAAGTAAAAGGGAGGGAGCAGACAGAATCTGCTTTCCATCAAGGGCTTTAGACAAGGACAGCACCCCTTAAATCCTCGATTATTTCGCTCTAGTTGAAGTTTTGTGTTGTTTTTTTTTGTAAGACTCCTTCCCTCTGGGAATTACTGTGAAGGAAGGAAGAGATCTGGAAGTGCGGAAATGGAGTGTTTCCGGTGCCCTGATGATGACAGTCTCAGGAAGACTTTCAGAAAACACTCCTGTGCTTTAGAGCAGGGGTTGGCAAGCTTCTTTTGGAAAGGGCCAGATAGTTAATAGTTAGGCGTGTGGGTCAGATGGTCCCCTACCACAGCTTCTCAATCTGTTGTGAAGTGTCAACCAGCCACGTTGGTACTTTAACAAATGAGCACGGCTGTCGTCAAGTAACACTTATAAGAACAGGCAGTGGGCTGCCTTTGGCCCCGAGCTGTTCTGCGCTGAGCCCCGCCTTATAGAGCTGTGGGATCTCAAGGTGGGCATCAGCTGTGGCATCGTGAAGAGCATCAGAAGCCCTGATAAATGCCAGCCCAGAACAGGCACCTACAATAGATCCTCCTGTCCTCGGTGTTGCAGCTGCTAGAGCTGAGAGCTTGAGGGATATTTTCTGGGCTCTGGCCACAGCTCCCAGACTGTACAGACCGCGCCCAGGCCTCCCGTCTGCTTGGCTGTGTTCTGGGCCTTTCTCACTGCTTTGAGGCTGAGTGTGTGAGTCAGGCAGTGCTACCTTTGCAGGGGGAAGGGAGGGTGCATGGTGTCCAGGGGCAGAGTAATGCAATTGTTTCCTCTTTTCCTGCCTGGTATCCCCCCCCCTCACCCCCAATCACAGAAATGTGTCTTTGTAGTGCCCACATGGACTAGCACCGATAGACCCATGTCCTCTCTGTCCCCTTCTCTGCACTCCCATATGTGTTACACACATGAGACATGTGAGCTCTTGTCATCTCAATCAACCTCTTAAAACCTTGCCTACTTTCCTTCTCTCAACGAAAAAGACACATTAAAGACAAGCAAGCACATTTTCTGCTTAAAGCAATATGAATAACGAAACCTAATCTTACCTGGGCTCTTTATTTATGGGATCCATGACGTGAATAAAGGCAACATTTTTTGAGCCCTTCACCCTACGATTCCTTTTGAATCTACACCCCTACTGCCTGTTTGGCCAGGGCTGCTTTTTCTAAACCTTTGCCCTTCCCCGGTCAGATCCTTAGGGCTGCCTTAAAGCCTTTCTGGACCCAGGTCCACGGGAATAGAAGCCGGGGCCCTCTGCCAAAGGCAGACCTTCCTTTGGTGGGTCAGGTGACGTTCCGGCACACCTCCGTAAGCTGGAGTGCCATGGAGAGTCTCAGGCACCCCCGCATCATCTTTATACCGCCCTCTCCCAGCCCTCCCACTGGGAGCTCTCCTTCCCGGGCTCTACAGGAAATGGTTAAAAATCAAAATGTGCCCTGACCGCTTTGGCTCAGTGGATAGAGCATCGGCCTGTGGACTGAAAGGTCCCAGGTTCGATTCTGGTCAAGGGCATGTACCTTGGTTGCAGGCACATCCCAGTAGGAGGTGTGCAGGAGGCAGCTGATCAGTGTTTCTCGCTCATCAATGTTTCTAACTCTCTATCCCTCTCCCTTCTTCTCTGTAAAAAAGCAATAAAATGTATTTTTAAAAAAATCAAAATGTATTCCAGAAAGGTTCTGAACTAAAAAAATAATTGTCTGTGATTAGACGTGAGATCTGACTATCATTGAAACAGTGTTTCAAACGAATATAATTGAATTACATTGGTAAACCAATCTTATTTTACAATTGAATCATTTGGAGCCACCAGAACAGGTTATGGGTTGCTTCTGGTTCCCACGAAAATGGGATCAGTCTCCCAAATTTTGAAGGTTTATCACCCAGGGAGGTATTTTTTAACCAGAAGCTCTGGGTCACCTTTGAATTTCTCTGGACTTTAGTTCCCAGAAAACCAAACGATGCGCACAGTGCTCTGCCTCATATGGCGCAGCTTTGAGAAAGCGCTGCCCTAGGAAAGAGGATTTAGAGAAGGTCCAGCCGGTGGGCTGATCTAACTGTGCCTTTCTCCTCTAGCTGTCCAATCTGGAGATTCCCCACCAAGGAGTGCAGATGGAAGGCGATGGCTTCAGCCATGCGATCCGCTTATTGAAGTAAGTCCCTGTCGTGTGTGTCGCTGGGTGCCACCCGTGGCAGCCCCCCGGCCGGAGCCGCTCCTGTCCCCTCAGGGCTCAGCACAAAGCAGTCAGAAGTGTGGGTGCCACGGAGTTCTGCAGAGAATTGCTAAGACCTGGGGGAGGATTCTCTTTCCCCTGCCGAGTGCCAGTCTATTGGTATTTTAGGTTTTCTTTCCTCTGCTTTGCTTTGCTTCATTCAGCGGATGCTTCTTGAGTGACTCTGTCAGGCTTGCTTTCTGATGGAGCCTTCAGGATGCTGGGTGGGGGGCGGGGGTCACACAGCAGAGGGATCTGGGCTAGTTCGGAAGTCAGGAAAGCACCAGCTGTGCTCTGACCGAGGGAGAGGTGAGAATTAGAGGAAGGAGGGCAAGGGGAGAAAAGGGCGGTCCTCGCCAGAGGGGGTGACTGCTTTTGTGAAGGCTTGGAGGCAAGAGAGCTCAGCACATTGGCGCGGGGAGAGCATGGCAGGAGTGGGAGAGGTCAGCAGGGCGGGTGCAGGTTTGTGGGGTTTTGAAAGTGTCCTTAAGGAATTCAGACTTGATCCTACGGGCAGTAAGAAGCCACCAAATGATTTGAAACAAAATGACATCATTAAATAAGTGTTTTTGAATGATGGGTGGGTGTGGTGTTTGATGGGTGCGTGTGGTGTGCAACTGATGGGTGAGTGTGGTGTTTGACTGATGGGTGGGTGTGGTGTTTGAGTGATGGGTGAATGTGGTGTTTGGATGGGGAGTGTGGTGTTTGGATGGGGAGTGTGGTGTTTGGGTGATGGGGAGTGTGGTGTTTTCTGAGATGAGGGGCACTGGAGGTGTGTGTTTGAGGGGCTTTCCTAGGTCTGATGTCCCTGGACAGCCCTTTGGGCAGGCAGGGATGTCTCAGGCTCAGAAGACAGGTCTGGGCAGCACAGGCAGATGAGTCAGGATCTCCAGTGGTGCAATCGGTTAGCGCGGTGCTTCTCAGTCATTACCAAGGTGACAGTAATTGAGCTGATATCGTAGATTAGATCGCCAGGAGAGAGGGTGCAGAGGGACATGGGCAGGGGGCTTGGCTTGCTTCTAAACACAGGGCAAGGGGCCAAAGGAAGCCTAAAAGGAAAGCTAATGTATTGTTTGTGCTCCAGAAGGCGACCAGGATGGACTTCCAAAGGTAGCATGCCATTTAAGAGAGAGAGAGAGAGAGACACTTCTATTGACTTTTGTTTTAGAGAGAGGAAGGGAGAGAGAGAGAGAAAAACTGACTATTTGCCTCCCTTAAATAAACCGATGGGAGATCAAACCCACAACCTGGGCATGTGCCCTGACTGGGAATGAATCGGAGACCCTTCGGTGCGTGGGACCACACTCAACCAACCGAGCAACACTGGCCAGGGCAAGGGATCCACCTTTTTCGTGCAGAAAACATTTTCTTTTTTCTGATGATGTTTAATAATATAAATCATATAAGCAGTTTTACTGATTGAGCTCCTGTCTGCGAAGACCTGGCAGCTCTGCGGCCTGAGCCAGCAGGGCTTTCGGTGTGGGACTTGGGAGTCAGTCTTGCAGCGGGAGAAGGGAAGGGTAGCAGGCGGCACGCACACCACCTGCGTGTCCCGGTGTCTGCTCCAGAGGAAGCGTTGAACTGGCGTAGCTTCCCCTCCTGGCTGTCACAATGCCATCTCTACGAAGAGTGGTTTTCCGGAGCGGGAGAGCCAGCCTTACAATGGCCATCAATGGGCAATGTACTCTTCCTTTAATTACATTCGGTTTGGAATTACTTAGGCTTCAGATGCAGGGTATTTCTTTCTTTTCACTCTTCTTGGCAACTGCAGATGAGTAGGTGATGTTAACTTTTGTGTTCTACTTTCTTAGTTACTTACATTTTCATACTTTGCAAGAGTTTTAAAATATCTTATGCTCAGCATTTTTATGAAAGCAATTTCAGTCCCCTTTTGAGAACTCATAATCCTCCTGCCTAAGAAGGTAGTTTACTTTTATTCTCTCTGCTACATTTATAACCTTAAAAGCAAGTAAATATTGTCCAAGTTGCTTAGGGTAAGCCAATTATATATTTATGTCACAGATGAAGAACGTGACATGGAATATGTTTTCAAGGTTGTATTGGTCCTGAGACCGTAAATTGGAAGGAGTCTTAGTCTAACTTAGTTCTTATTGAAAATGTGCTGGCTCCTGTGTGTTCATCTCCTAACCAGATGGTTTCATGAAATACCTATTTTATCTGATTGGTTGCTTTATAACTCTTATGGGTAGGGGCAGGCATATGTGTGCCCGGCTGGAGTGGCTCAGTTGGTTGAGCATCATCCTGTGCACCGAAAGGTTGCCGGTTTGGTTCTCAGTCCAGGCATACACCTGGGTTGCAGGTTTCATCCCCAGTTGGGGCGCTTACAGAAGGCAGCTAATTGATGTTCTTTTATTCCCTCCCTCTCTCCCTCCCTCCCTTCCTCCCTCCCTCCTTATAAGCATGTCTTTGGGTGAGGATTAAAGAAAAACATACATGCAGTGTATGTGATTCCTATAATAACTACCCCAAATAAAAATCTTCCTGGTAGTAATAAAAGGTCTCTAGTATGAAAGATTCAATTTTGAAAGACTTAAAAAGCTGTACATTTAAGAAGCGTTGTAATGAATTTTTAATTGAGAAAATTTCAGTACTATGTTAATTTTATGCAACCTTATAGATTTCTTCCCCCTACAGAGTTTATTTTTTACCATATGCAATTTCCGTCTCTTGTTTGCTCTCTGAAGTTGTTTATTCTAGGGCCAGTGGTCTCAACCCCAGGGTACTCTGCCCTCTAGATATTTGGCAATGTTTGGAGATATTTTTGGTTATCATTAACTTAAAAGAGGGGATAGGGTGCTCCTGGCATCTGGGAGGGAGAGACCAGGGCTGCATTGGATGGCCCTCCACAGCAGAGTCCAGCCCAACATGTCAGTATTGCCAACACTGAAAATCCCTGTTCTGGGAGTTACATTCTGAACAAGAGTCCGTTTCCAGTTAGAGTTGTTGTTGGTTTCCTTAGTTATTGATAATCATACCAAGCCTGAGAATTGATCCACCTCCCTATGAGTTACAGGATAATGTAGGCAGGGTTAAAGAATATATTATCTTATTGTTTCATCCATTACTGAAAACAGCTAAACTGTTGTACCTCTCAGTGTATTATGACAAATAAGAGAGTCATACAATTGCAAGAAAATGGACAGGTAGGTGTGGTAAGATAACTAAATTAATACATTCCTCTTGTATATGTGATACATGTGAATGATAATATGTGTGCTAACTGAATTCATACATTTAAAGCTCATCGTAGTGCATGTCACTCTACAGAGGAGGCAAAAGGGACAATAATGAACCTGGAATTCTGTCATGGCAGTCAGTGACGAAGATTTGTTTGACTGCAAGGGGGTTAACCTCTGTGAATACCTGCTGTATCAGCCACCATAGCACTTTATATGTCTTAAAAATCACGGACCATGAGGGAGTTATTTGTCTCCATTTTGTAGTTGGAAACTGAAATCCAAGGGTTTAAATGCGACTGAGTCAGAATTCAAATGCAGTCCCTGATCCCGTCGCCCCGTACTTCCCACTGTGTCATCCTGCCTTCCAAAGTGACTTCACCAGCATTTTGTTCCCCTTAGTTTTTCCTTGAGGATGGTCTAATAGATTTTGTAGAAAGTCAATATCCTTGATTTTTCATTCTCAGGAATTATGGTCTTTTCTAATAACAAGATTAAGGATGAAAGCAAACAGCATTTTGTTAAGATGAGAGCTAACCTGTGTTGAAATGAATGGAAATGAGTTAAATGCTATTAATTGCCTAGAATTGCTATGAGTTGCCTCCTTCCTTTACAGAAGGTGCCAAGTAGGGACTTTGAACTGAAGCTCCAATGTAAATGCTCTCCTGTCATTGTAGCGATTGTGCTTTTGTCTTTCTGTGTGGGAAGCGCTTCATGTGCTGTCTCCTCCCCAGAATCCCCCCCTGTAAGGGTGTAAGTGAGGAAACCCAGAAGGCGCTGGACCGCTGTCTCCTCGATTGCACTTTCCGATTGCAAGGAAGAAATAACCGCACGTGGGTGGCAGAGTTAGTGTTTGCAAATTGTCCGCTTAATGGCACTTCTACCAGGGAACAAGGTGAGATGTTTTACACACTTTGTCTTTGGATATTTCTGGGCCTTTTTTCATACTGATTGCCATTAATTTCTCTCTCAATCCTGTAGGACCATCCCGGCATGTTTATCTAACATATGAAAACCTGTTGTCTGAACCCGTTGGTGGCAGGAAAGTGGTGGAAATGTTCCTTAATGACTGGAACAGCATTGCACGATTATATGAGTGTGTGTTGGAATTCGCACGTTCTCTACCAGGTACGTGTGATAATCTTTTTTTTTTTTTTAACTAAAGAAAACATGCACTACTGAAAAAAAAAAAATGCAAAAGAATATCTAATGAGAAATAAGTTTCCCTTTTAACTTAGGCTTCAGTTTCCTTCTCTCAGAGACAACCACTGTTAATTATGTCTCCAGAAATTTTTGCACGTGGGTATACCTGTGTACTAGAGGCCCGGTGCACACGGGTGGGAGGGATCCCTCAGGCCAGCCTGCACCCTCTTCAGTCCAGGACACCTCGGGGGGTGTCTAACTGCCAGTTTAGGCCTGATCCCGCAGTCAGACAACCCTCTTGCAATGTTGGACTGCTGGCTTTTAACCGCTCACCTGCCTGCTTGCCTACTTGCTCGCCCCTAACCACTCTACCTGCCAGCCTGACTGCCCCTAACCTCTCTGCCTCCCTAATCACCCCTAACCCCTCTGCCTGCCTGGTGCCCTTAACCCCTGTGCCTGCTGGCCCTGATTGCCCCTAACTGCTTTCTCCTGCCAGCCTGATCACCCTCAACCATTCTGCCTGCCTGCCTGATCACCCCTAACCGCTCTTCCCTGCTGGCCTGATTGCCCCTAACTGCCTCTACCTGCTGGCCTGATCGTCCCTAACCATTCTCCCCTGCCAGCCTGATCACCCCTAACCACTCTCCCCTGCTGGCCTGATCGTCCCTAACTGCCTCTGCCTTAGCCCCCGCAACCGTGGCTTTGTCCAGAAGGGTGTCTGAAAGACGTCTGGTCTATCCGGTCTAATTAGCATATTACCCTTTTATTAGTATAGGTTATAATAATAGTTAATACTTAGAGAGTTTACTATGTATTGTACAACGTAATAAACAGTTTCCTTGTATTAATTCCTCATAATCAGTCACTCTATGAGGTGGGTAAGTTATTCATTTTTACAATTGAAGAAAAATCACAGAGACTTACGAAACTTGTTGATGGTCACCTACTAGTAAATGGCAGAGCTGGAATTGAAGCCTCTGACCACTATGCTATTGCTTCAGTATATCTCCACCCCTGCCCAGGCCCCCTGGTGTAGAAATGGAAATGGAAGGACACTTACTTTCTATTTATGCTGTTGCTTTCTTTTTCTTTTTTCTTTTTCTTTTTTTTACTAAATTACACATTTTAGACACCTTTTGATCAAGGAATATAATAGTGCCAAAATACCCTCCTTTTCAAATATATATTTTTCATTTTGCATGTGTAATCTTAATCTCCTTTTTGTTTCCTTTCTATTTAGACATACCTGCTCATCTAAATATTTTCTCAGAAGTTCGTGTTTATAATTATCGAAAACTTATCTTATGTTACGGAACCACCAAAGGAAGCTCAGTAAGTGTATGAATTAATTAAAACTGAAGTTCCTCTCATCAATCTTGTAAAAAGCAAGAATTCAAAAATTTATGAAAACTGCCTTGAAATAATTGGGGGCTCAAGTAAAAATTAGGGATAAATGGTAAAATTTAAATATTTTGTTGACATAAATATAGTGTACTATAATGTTTAACTCTTTTAAATTGGAAACAAAAATTATACCCTCTTTGATGGGTATATAATCTTGAGTTTTTGACACAATAATGTACTTTTAGTTTTTGCATTTTATTCTTAACTGATTTCAAATTTGCTTAGCAATGTGATTACTGTGATGAAGTTCACATAGGAGTTGGAACAATATGGTATGTCTACTTTTGGTCATGTGATAATGAACATTGTTTGATCTTATCTTGCTTTTTAAGGTATTCCCCATAATTCATAGTTTTTGCTATGGGTTTTTTGTTTTGTTTTGTTTTGTTTTCTACTTCACATGTAAAGCCCTAGAAATTTAATATGAAAATTCAGCCAGCTGGCTTCTTTCTGCACTCTCCACATCAAGTAATATCAGAAATTAGTTGAGTGTTTAAAAATCTGTTAACGAAGCCATCTGTGTTGGGGGTGGCTTCCTTTGCGTTATGATTGTTTGCACCTACAGGGAGACTCTCCTTCAGCTCAAGGAAAAGTGAACATTAGAAACACCATTGGTAATTTTTAAGTAACAAAATGTTTTCTTTAGCGCCCTCTGTTTCATTTAGAAGTGGGCTCTCTAATGCACGCTCAGCAAATGCACTAGACTTTAGTACCAGCACGTCTGGGATTTAGAGAGTCCAGTCTTAGGAGTTGCTTTCAGGAAAGAGCTAATTCAGATCTTTGGAATTTTGCCTTACTGTTGAAACATTTTTTCGACTACTTGAATCTTTTACTCTCTGTGTCTGAAATCTGTATTCTCTTTGCTTTAGATTAGTATCCAGTGGAATTCGATACATCAGAAATTCCACATTTCTTTGGGAACTGTTGGTCCAAACTCAGGTTGCAGTAACTGTCACAATACCATTCTCCATCAGCTTCAAGAAATGTTCAACAAAACACCAAATGTGGTTCAGTTACTACAGGTAATTGAGTTTATTTTCTCTCTAAAAATAAGATTCGGTTAGTACTAGTGACGAGGGTGGTCGTCTGTGTCTTTCATATCTTGCACTTTTCTTGGAGAATTTTCTTTGATTCAAAGTGGACAGAGCGATCTAGGAAAAGTTTTCTGCAATGTGTCAGAAGGACATCGTCTCATTTATGATGGTTCCACATTGAAAATTCTGAGGTTCTGTCATTGTACAGAAGCCGGCTGCTCTCACTGTGTTTGCTCCTCGTAGGTACTGTTTGATACTCAGGCTCCGTTAAACGCCATCAACAAACTCCCCACTGTGCCCATGTTGGGCTTGACCCAGAGAACCAACACTGCCTACCAGTGCTTCTCCATCCTGCCGCAGTCATCCACCCACATCAGACTGGCCTTCAGGAACATGTACTGCATTGACATCTACTGCCGGAGCCGGGGCGTGGTGGCCATACGGGATGGTGCCTATAGTCTCTTTGACAATAGCAAGTTAGTTGAAGGATTTTATCCTGCACCAGGACTAAAGGTAACGGACTAAGTGATACAGCATGAATAAACATAAACGTGATCTCAGACAATTCATTCGAGGGGGAAATCATGGGGAAAAGCAACAAATTCCTGTCTAAATTTTATAAGTAGTCGTGTTAATACATTATTTCTGCCACTTGACTCGGAAAGAGCTAGAAGCTCTCCTAAAGGGTTGTGCCTGTGTATGAGGTGAGAAAATGTCTTTCCCTTTGTTTCCCTACTCTGCTGAGCAAGGTGGAAGATACTGAAGAGAGTCCTGTTTGCTACTTCATCCTGCCTATTGAGTAGATTTGCTATGCCGATAGAACTATGGTGCTTTTTTAAAATGTTGGGCCCTGGGCCCTGGGCCCTAATCCGTGGAGATCCTGATGTAACAGCTCAATTGCTTATCATGTAGAGTCGAGTAGTTCCAAATGACTTGTTTTGAAAATTAGTTCCCTGCAACCCTCTCTTGCCATTTTCCCGTTATGCTTTCAACTCTTATATAGTTGGTTCTCTTGGTATTTATAGTTTATCTCTAACTAGGTGCTTACATTGCTGTTTGTTGACTGCTTAGTTGAGGGCATTATCTGATTGTCACAATGAAAGATGAGGATTTAATTCTTTTTTAATGCTTTCTATGTGCTCCTTCCTCGTTCCAGGCTGCTGCGCACAAACACCTTCTTCCTTTCCTCCTATGCTTACACTAGGGGTGTCGAACTCAATCAGAGAAGGGGCCAAAATCTAAAATCCAGCCTAAATCGCGGGCCGAATGGTTTACTGAACAGTCATAAACTGTCATTGTGATGGAAACGCAGCGGAGTGCAGTGATGACAGCGCAGTGCGGGCCACATTGCAAGGCCTGGCGGGACGGATTTGGCCCGCGGGCCTTGTGTTTGACACATGTGGCTTACACTGTGGCCAGATAGCAGTTTTGATTGGGTGACTTTTCCCCTTCATCCTCATTTGCAGAGATATCTGGTGCTGCCAGTTCCTCCATGTGTTGCGGATCTAGATGGAAATAGCTTCGCCTCTTGGCTTCCCCCACTGCTTGCTTCGCATACAGCTCCCTCACGTTGTGGTTACCACTCAGCCATCTGCTCTGCAGCCTCAGAGTTTATTGCTATTTTTTTTTTCCCTTTCTTTTTTTGTTGTGAGTTATTGTTTTAAAAAATGTTTATAAGCGTTTCATATGCATTATTGGGAGAAGATGAAATGTGTTGTGATTGTCATCTTTAATTAGGAATTAGACTATGTACTTTCAAATGCTTTTGAGTGATTCTGATAATCTCATGACTTATATTTTTAAAGACTGGGAAGATGAAGAGTATTACAAGAAAGAAAAGCTATGCTTGACACAAATTCTGGTAGCCTTTGGTGACATATCTTATAAACAAGGCTGTCCCATTCTTGATGATTCAAGATTAAGTCACTAGATAAGAAAGAGAAAAGATGGCTTAGTTTCTTTATTCAGTTTTCCTCTCATTTTCTAGCTTAAGTGAAAACTCTCACTAAGTAGTAAATTTTCCAACATATAACTTGTGATCCTCTCCCTCCCCCATTTTTGCTTCAGAAATTAATAAGAAAATATTTTGGCCTATTGTTAAGAAGTGCCAGGGTGTAATTCTTTGTTCTACTCTTTGCACTGTGCTTCTTAAACCTTGATGTTGATTTTGTGGCGGCCATTAACAGTTTTCCTCAGTATCCCTCCTTCAAGATTATCAATATGTCTTTCAGGTTGTCCTAGTGATAGTGATCATGTGTTACATTTCTATTTCAGAAATAGACATGGTATGTTTATTTCTGCTAAAATATTAGCAATACTCTAAAATACCATACTAAAGTTAGGGAAAATAATGTAAGTTTTACCTGTTTCTATCCATAGACCTTCCTGAATATGTTTGTTGACAGCAATCAGGATGCGCGGAGAAGATCTGTAAATGAGGACGATAATCCGCCTTCTCCCATAGGAGGAGACATGATGGATTCTCTAATCTCCCAACTGCCGCCACCTCAGCAACAGGTAAGGTGTTGCTGAAATCCCACATGGCATCACATTCGTTTAATTTAACAAGTTCTACAGGTGTCTGGGCTTCTTTTAAGATTTTTTACTTATTTTTAGAGAGGGAAAGGCAAAGGGGGAGAGAAAGAGAGAACATTTGTGTAAGAGGGAAAAGTTGATCAGCCGCCTCCTGCACTTTCCCTACTGGGGACTGAGCCCGAAACCTGGGTGTGTGCCCTGACTGGGAATTGAACTGGCAGCCTTTCAGTGCACCGGACAAAGCCCAACTCACTGAGCCACACTGGCTCACTTGTCTTTCTTCTTGAAAGACAAGGAGATGGTTCCCAGATGCCCAGGAAGTGCATATGGAAAAATAGTGACAGTGACGAGGAGGAGGAGGAGGAGGGTTCCAGCGATGGGAAGGGAGTGGTACCAGAAGCGGCATTAACCGCAGGCTTGTGCACTCAGTGATGGCAGGTGATGACCCGTGTAATCACCACAGAGTTCATCCAAATGGCTAGTAAGCACAGGACAGGTATTCAACGTCATGTGGCATCACAGAAATACAAATCAGAAGCGCAGTGAGGTAATGCTCCATGGCCACAATAGGGCTTTAGCCGGGACCGGTTTGGCTCAATGGATAGAGCATCGGCTTGGGGACTGAAAGGTCCCGGGTTTGATTCCGGTCAAGGGCATGTACCTTGGTTGCGGGCATATCCCCAGTGGGGGGGGTGCAAGAGGCAGCTGATCGATGACTCTCTCTCATCGATGTTTCTAACTCTCTCTCTCCCTTCCTCTCTGTATAAAATCAATAAAATATATTGGGGGAAAAAAATAGAGGCTTTAGAAGGAAAATGATAATCCTTGCCAGCATTTGGTGTTAGGAGCAACTGAAACTCACTTATTCCTGGAGGCCTTGAGAAAGGTACAACTAGCTTGCCGTGGGGTTTAGCAGCATTCCAGAGAGCTAAAGCTGAACATTGTGTAACATATGGCTTAACGATTCTACTCTTAGGTGCATATGCAACAGAAATGCATCAAAAAGCCCTCACCTGTTTGGCTCAGTGGATAGAGCGTCAGCCTGCGGACTTAAGCGTCCTAGGTTTGATTCTGATCAAGGGCGTGTACCTTGGTTGTGGACACATACCCAGTAGGGGGTATTCAGGAGGCAGAAGATCAATGTGTAAGAGGGAAAAGTTGATCAGCCGCTTCCTGCACTTCCCCCACTGGGAGCTGAGCCCGAAACCTGGGAATGTGCCTGACTGGGAATCGAACTGGCAGCCTTTCAGAAGCCCAACTAACTGAGCCACACTGTTATGTTTCTAACTCTATCCCTCTCTCATCAATGTTTCTAACTCTATCCCTCTCCCTTCCTCTTTGTAAAAAATCAAAATATTCTTTAAAAATGCATCAGGAAAACACAAGAACATTTTTAGTAACATTATTTATCAAAAAAATTGTAAACAACTCAAATATCTAGCAGCAGTAGCATGAGTAGATAAATTGGGGTATATTTATACAATGGAACACTTTATAGAAATGAGAAAGCAAATTATTGTTTCATGCAGCTACATGATGCATTTCACTGACAGAGTTGAACAAAAGAAGCCAGATGCCATGTATAGAATGAGTACATTCAGTATGTATATGAAATGCAAAACCAAACTGGAGTAATAGAAGTCGAAATAGTGCTTACCTTGGGAAGTGATAAAGACAAGGTGTACAAGGGAGGCCTCGGGTTCTGGTCCTCTTCAGTACTGGGATCTGTGTGGTAGCACGCTTGTAAAAATCCGTCCAACTTAGGGGGGTGGGGATTGGAAACGGGGGGTTGAGGACAAATTTGTGATACCTTAATAAAGAAATTTTAAAAAATAATAGATTGTAGACATTGAAAAAAAATCCATCCAACTGTACTTTTAAGATTTGTGCACTTTACTATATGTGATTTGTTCCTCAATTTTTACAAAAACAGAGCAGAAAGGATTGCATTGTTTTCATTACTGGAGATGAAGGCAAAGGTAAGTAGAGGTCAGGCTGAACTACCATATTTCATTGACTCCAAACTCCACCAAAGGAAAGAAGCGTTATTTTTTTCTGTACTGCCAGTTAAACTAGGACAGAGAAAAGGAGAGAAAACAATCTTGAGGAATTTAAGCAATGGCATCGCAAGATCAGGAATGCAGATGCTGCTTTTTTGAAAGTCAGGCAGTTTTTGAAAACCTATGTTATTGATGTGCATTTTGTACATTTTCTTGAAGTGTGAAATGGTATTACCGGCACTATTGGAGAAAGCCATACACTCATGCTATGGTTGGCCATTTGACAAACATTTCAATTTCTTCTTTTCAGCCATTTCCCAAGCAGCCAGGATCATCAGGCGCTTATCCTCTTACTTCACCTCCTACATCTTACCATAGCACAGTTAGTCCGTCTCCCTCTATGATGCACACACAGTCTCCAGGTAAGGCAGTACTTACTTTCTTGTCCTGTCACCTTTAAATCGAAAGTACGCGCGCTCTTGCACACACAGAAGCACTGTGCATGTAGCCTCGGACTTCAGAGAGAGCTTCCTTTCTAGTCTGTGGCTACGTGTCTGCCATTCATTCATGGCGGCAGGGTTGTGAAATCCACGTTGATGATTCAAAGCACTGTAAAATGCTTGAAATGAATGTTGGTGTTATCACCCGGAGCCAGGCTCATAGCACAACTCCAAGAAGTGCTAATCTAATCGCATGATCTATGTCAGAATTCTGTTGGCAAACCAGCCTGTGGGCCAGGTCCTGCCCTCCACCTGTGCTGTGGGTAGTTTCGCTGGAATGCAGCCACACCGTTCCTGTGGTGTCCCAGGCCGCTTTCCCACCACGGCGAGCGGCCCTCCCAGAAGGTTTGCCAAGCCCTGGGACTGTGGATGGTCCCCGCCCCTCGGAGGTAGGCAGTGCCCAGCCTGCTTGTCCAAGCAAAGTGGCTCTGCGGGCACCCCCAGGAAGGATGCGGTGAAATCACTTGAGGAGGCCAAAGTTTGACTGGTGACCTAACAGTTCATTGGTGTCACTGGAGCTCTGTGCCAAATGCCACATGGTGCTGAGGACTGACGGGGGGCCTGGGACCAGTCCTGCTCGGGAGCTTACCACTGTGCAAGGAAGACAGGCGTCAGACTTCTGGGGCACGTGATCGCCTGTCCGCCCATCCGAGCTGTCTGGGCCGCAGATGAAGACATGGAAGTGGTTGTCATGTCACTGAAGCCCAAGTGTGTGGGTGAGCTTAGCCTGAGAAGGAGCAGCCAAGAGAACAAGAAGGAAGACAGGCGACACGGCATGGAACCCAAGGAGGGTTTTAAAAAAATATCTATGTTTATTGGTTTCAGAGAGGACTGGAGAGAGAGAGAGAGAGAGAGAGAGAGAGAGAGAGAGAGAGAGAGAGAGAGAGAGGGAGGGGGAAAGAATCATTGACAGGCTGTCTCCTATACGCCCCCTAATGGGAATCGAGCCCACTACCCAGGCATATGCCCTTGGCCAGAATCGAACCTGGGACCCTTCAGTCCGCAGGCAAACGCTCTATCCACTGAGCAAACCCGGCTAGGGCAGGAGAGTGTTTTTCTAGGATAGAGTTGAGACTGGTTTTGCATATAAGGTAGGAGAAATGATTATTTTGAAATAACGATAATAGCAGACAGGAATAGATAGTACTTAGTCTGTGCCAAGCCCCATTCTAAGCACCTTACCCTGTAATCACTGTCCAGGTCACACAGTTAAATAAGTAAAATAACAGAGGTTAAGCAAGTTGATCAACATATCTGTTGAAAGTAAGGCATTGCGCCAGGTATTATAGGACATGGACATGTGAAATTCTCTTACACAGACGTAGAGAATTTGAAACTTGATGATATTGAGGATAGTTATGTAAAGTAGCAGGTATTTTAGTGTTGCATTTATTCATAGTTTTGGTAGCCATAGTCCCCCTTGGTAATTCTAAGTTAAAACTAATCCTGTAGCTAAATACCATCTTTAAGCTCATGTCTCCCGTTTTCTCGTATCTCCTATCTAGGCTCACCCTGGAATTCAAGTCCTGTATTTCCAGCTGTCTATTCAACATTTCCATTTAGCTGTCTAGTCAACATCTGAAACTCACCAACCACCCCTCCTACCCACCCCAAATTGCTCCTCCCACAAGCTCCCCTCTCAGGAAATGGCAGCCCCTTCCTTCCTGCTGCTTGGACCAAAGCTGTTAGAGCCATGTTGGAGTCCTCTTCCTCTCACCCCCACATTCAGCCAGTTACCGAATGCAGCCAGCTCTGTCTTTAGAATTCACCCAGAATCTAACCACTTCTCACCATGGCAGCCTGTGCCCTCGCCCAGGTCAGTAGCCACCTCTCATCTGGAGGACCGCACTGACCGGTTGCGCTGGCCTTGGCCCTGCCCTATAGTCTGTTTTTCACACGGCAGCCAGACGGATCCTTCTGGAACAGAAGTTAGTTCAGGACTCCTCAGCTGCAGACTGCAGTGGCTTCCAGTTCATTCAGGGTACACCCTGAGTCCTTTGAGTGGCCTACAAGTCCCAGCGTGATTTAGGACCACCCCTGCCTCTCTGACTCCATATCCCATCCCCCCGCCCCCCCACGCTGTTCCAGCACACTGGCCTCTTCCCTGTTATTTATAACTGGCTGCCTTTAAATCCTTTGCACCAGATGTTTGCTGGAATATCTCAAGCCCTGTACACCTCATGCCTTTCCTTCACTTCCTTTGTTCTCGGCTCACAGTCTTCTCTGGTGGCTTTACGTAAAGACAGCACCCACCTCACCACTGCTCAGTATCGCCCCTTCCCTCGCCCTGTGTTTCTCCATAGCTCTCACCACTCCCTGCCTGACCTATATCTGTAGTCTTTCACATTCTACTAGCATATAAGTTTCATGACAACAGGAATTTTTATATCTTGCTAACTGCTAATCCCCAATGCGTACCACACACAGTGCTAGGCATGAAATTGACGTTCAGGCCTGGTTGGTGAATGAGTGGATGGTGACTAAAGAGTACATTGGATTCTTTTTTTAATATTAGCCAATGTAAGAGCTGGAATTTGGGCCTCTCTCTTTTTTTTTTCTTTCCATAATGAAAGTTCTAGTTTTCCTTTGCGCTACTTCAGGGAGCTTTACTACTTACTTCTTTAGTCTATAGAGTCTTAACTTGGGGTCCTTGGGCAGGACATCCTATGTGTCCTGCAAGATCATCTATAATTATTTTCATTTATTAGGAAATCTGCATGCTGCCAGCTCCCCCAGTGGGGCTTTGAGAGCCCCGTCACCAGCGTCATTTGTTCCAACTCCTCCCCCCTCCTCGCATGGACTCTCTATAGGACCAGGGGCCAGCTTTGCTAGTCCACATGGTGAGTCCGTACCTGGAAACCGCCGGAGCACGAGAGTTTGCCGTGGAAGTAGTTTTTGTTCCATAAATTATTTTCTTTTTGCAAAACGAGCGCTTGTTTATGGGGGAAATAGCAAAAGAAAATAAATTTTTCCTAGCCACACCATGCAGAGACCTACCAGTTTTGTCTGCTTTGGACTCTCTCCCTCTCCCTTCCGGTCACACGCCCCTGCTTGCCTGCCTGCTCGAGTCTCTTGCTTGCTCTCTACCCATCCATCTTCTTGTCTCCCGCCTCAAACATATCCCCCACACACACCCCAAAATTGGGACCCTCCCCTTTATGTTATGCTGAGACAACTTTTTTCACTAATTAATTCAGAAGTCCTATTTCAGATTGGTTCAAATCCATAAAGAATAGAAGAAGTAGCCAGTGAGTGTTTCCTTTGTTCCACGAGCCACCTAGTTCCTCCTCCCACGGGCATTTAGCTGGTGTCATTCATTTCCTCTTGTTCTCGCAGAGATGTTTTATGCATACACAAGCAAATTCGGGTTATATGCACATGGCAGGCAGCACAGTTCCTTACTTTTTTCACTTAATATGTCATGACTACCATTCCTCAGATTTGACAGCTGTGTAGCACTGGAGATTTTTTTACTCTTTACTATTAATATTTGTGGCAACATTTCTGGCAGTAAGAACTCTACATTGTCATACTAAATGGCTTCATAGTATTCCCTTATCTGGGCATACCATATTTAACTGCTCTCCTACTATGTTATGTTTAGAATGTTTCCATTTTCTCACAAGTAAAAGTGGTGTCGTGTCTGCTCGCATGATTATTTTCTTAGGTAAGTTCCTAGAAGTGGAATTGCTGCCTCAAAGGGTTTGAGAAATTCTAAAGCTTTTAAAACATATTACCAATTTCCTCTAGTATCATACTAGAATGTCTGTTTTCCTGCATCATTGCCAACACAGGGTATTACGGTTTTTTAAAACCTTGGTTATTTAGATAGGTAAAAAATGGTACCTTATTGCTTAATGTGTGCTGCTTATTTTATGTGTGCCTGCTTATATGCTTTTCCTGTGTTCTTATGTTAGTTTTTGTCACTCCGTAAGACTTCTAAGTGAGGACCATTTGTTCTCTGATAGTTGGTAGAAGTATTTTTTTTCAGTTTGTCATTTGGTTCCAAAGTGGTGTAACCCTGCAGGGTGAATTGAAATACCAAATTGTCCAGGAAGTCGCTGCTTTCAAAACATTATTCTTTGGTTCATTTCTTAGTCCACGTCACCTTTACTAAATAAAGAAAATGGAAAATTTCCCTCTCCTCAGCCTCCTCTGAGTAGAATGAAAACGTAATCTGTCAGGGTTAGTTTGAAAATGTAAAATTTCTTTCCTTAAGGGAGCTTTGAGATTTTTTTGCTTAATTTTTTCAAACCTATCGAAGATTGTTCTGTGCTATAAATTGTTATATATTCTACATCTTGAAGTTCACATGAAGGTAAATTTTATTCTTTCTCCGTCTTTTTATCTAATTTTTATTTCATTAAAAAGTACATGAACCACACAAAATATTCAGATGTGCCGTGTTAAGAAGCATCATGCTTCAGTGAAACACTATCCTGAAAGAGAAAATAAAATGATCATCATGTAAAGCACAAGCACCTAAATGCTGTCCGGTGCTTTTCAGATGTTAAAATGCAGACTTTGCAAACCATTTATTTACTTGTCTCCAGGAGCCCTGGACCCCAGTTCTCCTTACACTATGGTGTCACCAAGTGGGCGAGCAGGGAACTGGCCAGGCTCTCCTCAAGTGTCTGGCCCCTCACCAGCAACACGGTTACCTGGGATATCACCAGCCAACCCATCACTACACTCTCCAGTTCCAGACGCTTCTCATTCCCCTCGAGCTGGGACAAGTGAGTGCAATCAACACGGTTATGTCTGCTTTCAGTGTAACCAACCAGTGGCCTGTTTTATTCCTCCCTCACATTTGAAGATCGCGACCTGCTTGTTGAAAGGGTTACTTAATAGCTTCAGCCCTTGTCCATTTAGTATAAACTGGTGGTAATACTAGTTCATTGCCCAAGTCAGACATAACAAGAAAGGGAACTGTCTCTTCCAGAAGTTTTTTGAGTTGAGACCCCAGTGCCTCTGTTATGACTGCTACGCTAGCTACAATACTAGACCTTAAAAAGATCCTAAAGGCATCTGACAAGATTATGCAGTTTAACACAGAAGAGAAGAATTGTGCAAAATGCTAGCTAGCTTTTGCTACTTGACTTTGAGTGACTGAAAACAGCAGTCCTCTTTGCTCCCCGTTCTGCAGTGTGGCAGTCCGGCTGAGGCCAGCTGGGTAGTTCTCCCAGGCTCTGCTGGGCTCACTCCTGCCTCTGTAGTCAGCTCCTGGGTTGGCTGGGCTTAGCTGATTTAAGGTGACCCCAGCGACACGGCTTCTCTCTGCTCCAGATGGTCTCATACTTGACCTGGTGGCTGGACAGGGTGCTCCAAGAGTGAATGAAAGCCTAGGCTTGCAAGCAGCACTGCCTCACTGGCCACAGCAAGTCACAGAGCCAACCCAGAATCCAGGTGGAGCCACACACTCCACTTCTAGATGCGGTTGCTGCAAAGTCTCATGGCAGGGACTACCTGGCCAAGGAAGAACTGTGGCCATTTTTGCTAACAGGAAGCTCGTATATGATTGCTACACTACAAGGAGTGATTCACCAGTTCCGATTGCTATAGAATAGCAAAGATCCCTACCAAGAACAAAGCAGGGAGCAATGAGATAATGTGCCTTTATAAGTGAAATACTTTTTCCTTCCAAAAGGTTCCCAAACGATGCCAACCAACATGCCCCCACCTCGCAAACTACCTCAGCGCTCCTGGGCAGCCTCCATACCCACCATCCTCACTCATAGTGCCTTGAACATTTTACTGCTGCCCTCCCCGACGCCAGGCCTCGTGCCTGGCCTGGCTGGTAGTTACCTGTGTTCTCCGCTTGAAAGATTCCTGGGATCGGTCATCATGAGAAGGCACCTTCAAAGAATCATCCAGCAGGAAACGGTATGGCCACCTAGAGGACTAACTCCTAAGTGGGGATTGTCCAAGGCAGGTGCCCGTTCCCCTCAGAATAGGATCGGAACTAAAGTGACATCCCCTCCCTCCTTTAACCGGCTGGTTAGAGTTCCGCTTTGCACTGTTTTCTTTTCCCTTCTAACACACTCCTTCCTTTTACAACTTGCCCTGCTGTGGCTCCCATGGACCCGGAGGCAGGTCTGCTCAGTGTCGTAGGACACGTGTGCTCGGATCTGGCTTTGCAGAGCAGCTTAAGAGTGGCTCTTGTCCTCGAATGCTTTGCGGGCAGGCTCCTTTGAACCAGAGTCCATTGAAAAAACTGACTTAAGATCACAGGGACGAAAGCTATTTTTCAAATACACGAGCCATTGAATGGATGTAAAGCCCTGACCAAAAGGCCGCCTAACCTGTCCTGTGGCGATGGCTCAGGAGACGGCGCAGAGCTGAGAGCACCGTTCCCAGTCCAGCTGCCTGGGTTTGTGGCCAGGCCAAGCCACCTGCTGGCAGGAGCGTGGCTAGTTCCTCACCTTTCTGGTGATAGTAGGTAATGGTATCTGCCTAACGCAGAACAGTGTGGGAATCAGAGATATTTCATAAAAAGCTCATAGCATAATGTCTTGGTATTCAGTACACATTAGTTACTTTTAATTATTATGTTAATAAGGTGGTGGTCAGAATGGTGAATGTTGAAAATATCCACTCAAGGGGTGGCACCATGCTATTTTGCAGCCTTTATATTCAGATTTGAAAAAGATAAAGGTCTTAACATAAGCTGAATAAATTAGCATTTAAAATGGTAATCATCAGACCTGTGATCGAGGCTCACCTCTGCCACTTAAAAGCCATGTAAGTGTTCAGCTCTTTAAAAAATGTGCTCGTTTGTAAAATCAACATATTAGTCTAGAGCAGAGGTCAGTCAACTATGGGCCTGCAGGCAAGTCCTGCCCACCACCTTTTTTTTTGCAAATAAAAGTTTGTGGGAACACAGCCACGCCCACTCAATATACACTATCTATGTCTGCTTTCAGCTGCAGTGGCGTCATTGAGTGGTGGTAACAGAGACCATATAGCCTAAAATATTTACTCACCCCTGGGCTGTCAGAGGCCCCAATCTGAATCTATCCCCCCCCACACACACCAAAAAAGTAGAGTTGGATAATGAACCTGTCTTTTCTCATCACCCGCCTTCAACAGTGAACTCATAGCAATATTGTTTCACTTACGGATCCCCCAGATTGTATGATAGCAAACTGCAGACATCATTTCATCCAAACACAGTTTCTTTATTATCAAATATGGTTGGTGACCAGATTTCTTTCCCAAGTTATCACTCTTTTTGCAGTTTGAATCCGAACCCAAACTATTGATAGTTTTGTTTGTTTTAATATGTTTTTTATTTTTTTTCAGAGAGAGAGGAAGGGAAAGGGAGAGATAGAAACATTAATGAGAGAGAGAAAAACATCGATCAGCTGCCTCTGGGGGTTGAGTCCACAACGTGAGCATGTGCCCTGACTAGGAATCAAACCGGCAACTTCTTGGTGCATGGGATAATGCTCAACCAACTGAGCCACTCGGGCTGGGCCCCAAACTCCTTTTTTTTTTTTTATAATATATTTTATTGATTTTGTACAGAGAGGAAGGGAGAGAGATAGAGAGTTAGAAACATCGATGAGAGAGAGTCATCGATCAGCTGTCTCTTGCACACCCCCTACTGGGGATATGCCCGCAACCAAGGTACATGCCCTAGACCGGAATCGAACCCGGGACCCTTCAGTCCCCAAGCCGATGCTCTATCCATTGAGCCAAACCAATCTCCGCCCAAACTACTTTTTAAGTCCCTTTCAAACTGTAGGTTCCCCTTCCATTTCTTCTTACATAACTTATTTCTTGAAGAAACCATATCATTGTCCTATAGAGTTTCTCAGTCTGGATTTTGCTGATTGTATCATTTTAGAATCATTTAACATGTTCTTTTGACCCCTATAGATCTATAATATGTATCAACCCTGTAGATCTAACTGCTGAATTCAGCCTCAAGTTGGTTCTTGTTTTGCAAGAATATTTCATAGGTGGTATTACGCTTTTCCATCTAGACACATGATGTTTGACTGCCTCTCTTGGGTGGAGGTCGTCTGTTTTGGAATAGGTGTCAACTGAGTTGTTTTCCTTTTGAAACAGGAAACAGTTCCCTGGGCAGCATTTCATTTCCTCTTTGTCTTACATGCTGTCTTTTTTTCCCTTTACATATTGTCTTGCATGCTAATTTGCCGCACCCTTGTTTTGCAGCTACAGCTGATAAATTCCAACGAACCTGGGGTGATCATGTTTAAGACGGACGCGCTGAAATGCAGAGTAGCCCTTAGTCCCCAAACCAACCAAACGCTTCAGCTGAAAGTGACCCCCGAGAACGCAGGACAGTGGAAGCCGGACGAACTTCAAGTTTTAGAGAAATTCTTTGAAACAAGAGTAGGTGTTTATGAATGCATCGTTTTAGTGTAATCAGCGAACAGAAGAGTCAGGGTGAAATGAAGAGTAACCTGCTGTATCTATCCCTGCAGGTAGCCGGGCCGCCGTTCAAAGCCAATACGTTAATAGCCTTCACCAAGCTGTTAGGCGCTCCTACGCACATCCTCAGAGACTGTGTGCATATCATGAAACTGGAGCTGGTAAGTCACAGAAACACCGGCTGAGAAAGGTGGGAGCAGGGTTATTGGTTTTTACCCGGTTAGGCAGGCACTTTTATTTTTCTTATATTCTTCTTCATTTCTCACTTACTTTTATGTTTTGAATAGGCAACACAGTCCTCCTCTTGCATCCTTTGAATTTAGAACAAGGTGATTCAGTGGGCCATTTCCCATCCATCTCTGTCCAGCCGTCTAGACCTCCTTCCCTCAGACAACCCAAGTTACCGGTGGCTTCTCTCTTATGAAAGCAAATATATTTAATACCCTGTTCCTACTCCTGGATAATGAAGTAACCCTCCCATGGTTTCTTCTCATACTGTTTGGACCCGTTTTTTAAATTACTCATTTAAATTTTGGGTCCATTTTAAATATGTCTTTGTGTCAGGTGTGAGGTATGGATCTCTGTTCTTCACATGCCCCTAATTGCCCTAATACCATTTATCAAAAAGTCTGTCTTCCCTGGGAGATTTTTTAATTCCTCTTCCTTTCTCTGAAACTAAACAATTATATCGGTGGCATCCAGGTGGCAGCCGATGACATTTTTCCAACCTTACAGTAGTCCTTTCATTTTAATGTTTCTAGAATTGCTTTGGGTGATTCCAAACACCTCACTTTTTTCCGTTGATATTTTAATATCGGGACAGCATGGCTTCTGCTCTGATGGGCTGTAGTTGACATTATTTATGCCAACAAGATATCCATCTGAGTTTTTAAAGGAGTAAATCTTTCTGTGGCTACAAAAGCATCCGTGGATATAATTGAAAGTTATTAACACAGTGTGTCTAGTTTAAGTCTGGGTTGGCACCAGTTAAGAAGGGCCTTGGATGCCAGCTGTTGATCCTTGGAGGGGGTGGGAGACAGCATGTGTCACTGCCTGTCACTGAGCATTGTGAGCTAGAATAGAACCACCCTCCAGAACACTTGGCAGTGCTGCACAGGTGGACGGGGAGGGACGGCCCCCGAATGGGACCATTAGGGGACCACAGGGAAGTGCCAAAGCCCTGGGCTGGCATCAGTGAAACAGAGAAGGGGGCAGTGCCAGAGACCCCGAGGAAGCAGGCCCCGTGGGAATTGATGTAGCCAGTGGGGAGGAGAGGAACATACCACTGGATCCTTAGTGGCCTTTTCCATTAGTAACTTGCTGTATATCTATTTTTTTTTAAACATGCAGGTTATCAGCTTGGTTTTGTTGAGTATAAAACAACCTTCTGCCTTAGCTTTCTAGACTCCTAATGTTCATAGGACTTTGTCTTGATTTTTGATTTTTTTCCGAACAGTTTCCTGACCAGGCAACGCAGCTAAAGTGGAACGTTCAGTTTTGCCTGACGATCCCTCCCAGCGCCCCGCCCATCGCACCTCCTGGGACGCCTGCTGTGGTGCTGAAATCCAAAATGCTCTTTTTTGTGAGTACCCGGGGTGTGTGCACGCAGCCTCTGGAGGAAGCCGTGTGGGATGGGGCCGCAGCTTGTGGCTAACTGCACACATGATCCGTCGCTGCCCAATATAGGTCCAGATTCCTCGTCGGCTTAGACTCGTGTGGCCCTGGTTCCTTTAGTGCCGCGGTCGGCAAACCGCGGCTCGTGAGCCACATGCGGCTCTTTGGCCCCTTGAGTGGCTCTTCCACAAAATACCACGGCCTGGGCGAGTCCATGTTGAAGAAGTGGCGTAAGGAGAAGTTTAAGTGTAAAATATTTGGCTCTCAAAAGAAATGTCAATCGTCGTACTATTGATACTTGGCTCCTTGGACTAATGAGTTTGCCGACCACTGCTTTAGTGATACCAGAAGGTTATTGAACTCGATCGTTGTGGGACAGTTGCATGTTAATCATACCTGTTTGTCCTTGTCATATTTAATTTTCTTTGCTTCACGTATGTTAATCTGACAGGAAATGATAGTACCTTTGATAAATCTTAGTCTAACGTTTTCCTTACTTACTGTGTTTTCCTTCTCTGCGTGTGTTTTGTGTCTGCAGCTTCAACTAACCCAGAAGACGTCGGTCCCTCCCCAAGAACCTGTTAGTATAATAGTTCCCATCATTTATGACATGGCTTCAGGTACCACCCAGCAGGCAGACATTCCCAGGCAGCAGAACTCTTCTGTTGCTGCGCCCATGATGGTCAGCAACATTCTGAAGAGGTTTGCAGAGATGAACCCACCGCGACAAGGTACATGACCCGTAGCTCTTTTGTTGCCTATGTGTCGTAAGAGTTCTTTCCAGAGACCCCCTTCTCCTGCTGCTTCCCCTCCCCCGCCTCCGCCAGCCCTAGTCCTAGAGCTCCGGTGCTGTGGCCTCTCGGTGTCTGCTGTCGCTTTCCTCTGTTCTCACTGGTTCTTTGTTGTCGTCCATGTCTCTGCTGCCTGGACTTCATTTCCACTAGTGATTTACTGTTGGGACCGACCCAGTTGCTAATGCCAGAAGCTTGTATTTATGGCGCACAGTGCCACAGTACCCCAGGTTAGGCTGCTAGAACTTTCCATGGATGTGAATCCCTGCCCTGCCATCAATACCCGCCACTCTGTACATCACCGAGTTGAAATGCATGTTGCTTTCTCATATTTAATGGTTCAGTCATGAAGAGAATACTATCATTCAAAGCTCTGTATCTTCTCAATGTTTTGTGAAGAATAAAGGCTGATACAAATGGCATCGCTGCTTTTTGGGCTCCTTATGTAAGTTCAGGCGGGTGTAAGTGCACCTTTTCACCAAATGCACAATGAAGCTCTCAAGGTGAGCACTGTCAAGGAAACCAGAATGTTCTGGCAAGATAAACAAGGTCTGGTCAGTACTGTTGCAGCCTATGCTAACACACGACTCCTGGCAGTGCGAAAGCCTGGGTGACAAAGCCAAGCTCAGAACTTTCTTCCCTTTCGCTTATTTCTAATGTGAAGGGAGTCCGCCATCTTTCTGCTGAGAATAGTATGACAAAGGAATTAGGTTTTTAAATGAGGGAAAGTTGTTCTCTGAAACATTTTTATGTACCGCAGTGTGAACATTTTACTAGTAACAGGAATCCTGGGAGAAATGATTTATTTTCAGCTGTTTGTTTCCCCATATTGTGTACAAGGCCAAGTTCTCACTCAAGTACAGCTGCTGAGAAATGCACTGGGCAGTAGAGAGGGTATGCTTCTTTTGTTGTCAAACTTCTTCCACTTCTTATAATTTTCTGCTTTCGTCCTTTGACTTCTTTCTTCTTTCAGCTAAAGAGTAGGTCCTTAACAATCCAAGCTTACAGCTACCAATTTTCCAAGTAGTAGTCCAGGAGAACTCTGATAATAAACACCTTTCTCTCATAAGCAGAGGGCTATCATTATGTCTTGTGGAATTTAAAGTTGAAAGGAAAGAATGTTTTGATCCTATTGCCATCAAGCAAGTTTTTCTGCCTGTCATTAATGAAAATGTGTTTTTAGAAAAAGAAAGATGTAACCTCTTTGAATTAATAAATGGTTGGGCTATTTTGAAATTGTTTTCCTTTCATGTCTACCTTAGACAGCTTATACCTTTGCAGTTCATTTTCTTTCTGTACCTGCATTTGCCAGCGGTAGGTGAGAGGGTGCGGTGACTTGCACAGGGTTGCTGCGCTCTGCCCTCTGCTGGAAGGCCATTACTCAGTTGAGGTCTTCAGTTCTCAATTCAGCCACTGTAGCGTTAGGCTGTGCTAGTTTACAATATTAACGGCTGGTCTTGGGTTATTATATTGACATATTTGTAATATTTACAAGAAGGAAGAGGCAGGGTGTTTGGTTTCTTCAAGCAAAGGGGACAGTGAGAGGATGAATCGTCAGCCTCCCCCAACGTGTCTTGCTTTGGGATGCTGCTGGGCCACATCCAGCCTTCCTCCCGCCTGCCAAGCCATCACTTCCTCCCCGTGGTGGCAAAAGTGCTTTTAAGAAAAACCACTTTATTTTTGTCTTAATTGATTTTAATGCTGAACTCAAGAAGTTGATCATTTCCTTCAAATTTGAGAGAAAACTCTAAAAGATGTCATAGAACTGTACCGTCCAATTTAACTGTCACTGCTGCATGTGGCTATTTAATTTTAATTCAATTTAAATTTAATTTAAAATTCTGTCCCTCAGTCACCCTAACTACATTACAGGTGCTGCTTGGTAGCCACAGTGCACGGATAGAATATGCCCATCTTCACAGAAAGTTCAATTGGACGGTGCTGTCACAGATATTTTACCTGACCTTTTTATAAAAATACATTTTCATTGATTTGAGAGAGGAAGGGACAGGGAGAGAGAGAGAGAAACATCAGTGATGAGAGGAAATCATGACTCAGCTGTCTCCTGCACGCCCTTCACTGGAGATCGAGCCCACAACCTGGGCATATGCCCTGACCATGAATTGAACCGTGACCTCCTGGTTCATAGGTCAATGCTCAACCCCTGAGCCATTCAGGCCGGGGTGTAGATCTTTTCATTACATTCAGAATGCACAAGCCAGTTGTCAGCAGCCTTGAAGCCCAACTTCAGAGGTTTAGCCAGTGCTCCTTCTCCGGTGTTCCTGTAAACTCTAGGCATCTTCTTAAACTCAAACCTAAATGGGGCTTGCCCAAAATTTCCTCATAAGAAAAAACAAAATCCAAATGAAATCAGTATCTGATACTCAACACCACAGTTTAATCCCCTGTAACCTGTGCAGTTAAAATTTATTCTTTTATTTTGATCCTTAAAGTTCTTGCTAATTTTAGATTTAACTGCCCCTACCCCACCGGTGTGTTGACATCATCTTTCCTGTATTGCGAATAGCTAATGACCATTTTTCTCTGTTGCAGGTGAATGCACAATATTTGCAGCTGTTCGTGATTTAATGGCTAATCTTACACTGCCCCCTGGTGGGCGTCCATAGACACTATTGTTTTTAAACCAGGAAGGCTGACAAATGAGACAAAACAACACAAAAAAAGTCTGAATTCAGCCTTCAGTTTAAAAAAGGAAAAGGACTTTTTTTTTTTACTTTGAGCTAAATATTCTAAACTTGCAAAAATTTTCAGGGTGCACTTCATCAAACCATCAATCTTTTGTATAGTGAACTTGTAAAGTGTGTTTAAATGGGACACGTTTCAAACTAGGTAAATACATCAGTGTCTCGCTTGCCAATCTTAGATTTAATATTCTGTTTTATACTATAAAGTTACGGAAATGCCAAACTTGTTTATTTAATTGTTTTCCTATGTTTTGGGTGTAATAGTCCTTTTTTGGTTTTTGTTTTGTTTTTTTAAGGCAGGTCTGTCGTTTTGAATACTGTAAAACTGTGATAAACTTTATATGAAGCTGTATTTTAATATGACCACTTTGAATCCTTACATGAATATGTTCTGGGAGCTGTTATTAAAAAAAAAAAAAAAAAACATCCCAAAGAAGCAATATTTAATAAAACTAGAGGTTTAAAAAAAACAAAAAACAGTGACCCTCACTTGTGTGTATATATCAGTCCTAAAGACCTCTCAGGCCTCCTTCATCTTCAGCCTGGTGGCCAGTAACTAATCTCTAATAATACATGATGAAAATGTGACCAAAAACATCAACTTCTTTGTTTCAAGTTTATTTTCTTCAAGCATTCCTACATTGACCGTGGCCAACACTTAGCCCCTTGGTTGTCTTTCAGTGTAGGATTTTGGCAAAAGCAAGAACCCGGTCTTTGAGAAGAGACAGTGAGCACTTCACGTTAACCAAGGCTCTCGAATGCTGCAGTGTTCCGGTCTGTTGATGCGGGAACTTTACCGTTAGGCAAATTTAGTTTCCAGGAGCCTCTGCGCACAGCATTCAGTAGGAAACAGAAGTTGAATGCTCTGCCTTTGCATGAAATTTCTGCAGGGGATCCTTATCTTGCTTAAGCTCCCCACCAAAGTTGGGGTTATTCAAACAATCCCTGTTTGATTCATTGCCTACAAAACGGTAAAATGATTTGCTTGGAAGAAACCTGGTCCAGTCCCCTCCCTTTGAAGAACCTAAGGTCACTTCTCAGCAGCGTTTCCTTTGGGGGCACTGCGCTGTGTCTGCCAATCAGTCAGGGACTTTGATAAGCTTGAAAGAAGGCCGTCGGAAGCAAAGGTCTTCTGGTGACTTGATGCTATTTGGGGAAGTTTTATGAATGACTTCATGCCGAGTAATCTTGTCACTGTAATGTTGGTTCTCCATGAAATTGCAGATGCTTTGTCTAATTCCCTTTTAGATTATTTAATTGTGCTTCTGTAACTGTCTACTACCAAACTCTAATTTCAAGCATCTCACCGCAGCTGTAGCCTGTCTGTTCTCAACTTTGCTTGGTTCTGTCTTTCTTTCTGGTCAGCGCTGAGGCCTTCTTTGCCTTTCTTCTGTCTTCTGCCTTCATCCCCTGCCTCCTGCCCAACTCTGCCACTACTCAGGAGCAGGTGACTAAACTTCTGCCCTTCCTTTAACTTACCTTTGTCCTTCCATTTCCAGTTCTCCTCGCGGTGGTAATCACATCTGTCTGTCAGTCTAACGTATCTTTATCAAGGGCCAGTCCTTTTCTGTTTGGAGCGGAATCCTCTCTTTCATGTAGAAGCCTACATGTATATACAACAAATGTATTTTTATCTACAGGATAATACTGCCTCAAATAATTCTATGAACCAAGTTGACTTTCTAGGTGTGTGCCCTCTGAAGTATGATTGGTTTTGAACTGTTAATTGCATTTTAAACATGATGCATTCAGTGGACACTTCTTTCCTAATTATGACTCCTCTCTGAATGCATTGTGCAAATGAAAAGGAAAATAGGACTCAGTGAACAAAACTTGTATTTTGATGCTTATTTAAGAGTACATTGGTGAATTTGAATTTTGATATCATACTTGATACTTGGAATTGGAATATACTTTATTAAAGCTTGGAAACACTAGTATTTGAATTTTAGGCTTCATCACAAACCATGTCTTTTGCCTCTTTTGTTACCTAGTTTCCACCAAAGGGATTGGATGTCCATAGAGATTTTTTCTACTAGAGGGTTTGGGTCTTAACTTTAAGACGTTTTCAATGTGGGTTTAGTAATAAATAAAATTTATACAAGTTTCAGAGAACTACCAACTCTCAGTAGTTAATTTTCATGGAGATTTAGTGTTAGTTTAACCTTGAAAGAAGAAATTGGTTCTGATTTGCCACCTTTTTTGTATCTACTGAAATGCCATTTCAGAATGTATAGAAGTACTTTCAGAATTAGGAAAAAAGTGAAAACTTCAACAGAGCATATCAAGTTAATGGGCTGAAATTAACTTTCTGAGTGAGTTATGTATAGGTGTAAACTAAAATATATATGATTGTGAATTTGAATACCACTAATAACTTTACTTTGTTGCAGTTCACACTGTAACCTGTCCACAGGATACTAATAGTTTGTTAGTCATTCTTTGGACTGTGATTAATTTTATAACTTCAAGAAGCATAATTTTGTTACTCTAAATTCAGATCCAATTTCATCATAAAAAGTTGTTTCCTTAATGATTTCCCCCCAAAGAAATATCTATTACATTTTGCTTTAATATTATTACCCAAGTGTGTGTTTGTTGTTGTGTTTTTTTTTGGGGGGGGGGGGTGTTGGTTGTTTTTTGAGAGAGGAGGGGAAAAGGAGAAAGAGATAGAAATATTAATGAATGGGACCGGTGACCTCAGTGCATGGGACCACGCTCAGCCATGGAGCCGCACCAGCTGGACTGCCCAAGTGTTATCACAGTACGAAATCACTGTACCAAAATCTTAAGAAAACTTACAGGGACAAAAAGAGAAAATAATGTGTATTTCATTGTTTCTTGGGGAATTTTCTTTTTCATTTGGTTTGATGGGAATGGACAGTGTGTCTTAGGGGAATGATTTGAAATTTACTTGGATAGCTTTGAGGTCAATAAAAAATGAGCAGAGGCCAACCAGCATTGTGCTACACAACTCCAGGAAGCCATGATCTGACAGTTTTCTGTAAATGGCCTCCGCTTCCAAGTGGCTGCGATTTGTTAATACCTTGCCCAGGGATATGATTGATTGATGAAAGGGCACATTTGGGTTAATATAAAACAATAGCTAATATTTACTGAGAGCTTACTATTGCCAGACACCATTCTAAGTATGTCAGTGTGTATTTAACCCTCACAACAATCAAATGGGGTAGGCATTAATATCTTCCTTTTACAGATGAGTAAACTGAGGTCTAGAGAAATGTAACTGATGAGATCAAATTTACAACTGCTTAAGATCAAACAGCTAAGTGGAGGCAATTTGAGTCCAGATCTATTTCTCTGAAATAGGGAGTCAAGGACAGGCTCCAATGTTTAGACTCTCCCCTCGGAGCCTTTTGGCGATAGTTTTAACTTCCTTCTCAAGCTCAAGAAGTGCACGAAACCTAACTACAACTGAGATCACCTCTTGTCATTCAGAACTGACAATTCATTTGCCTTCTGACCCTCTGGCACACTTACCTGGAACTTAGACTCCCTTATGGAGGAGCACTAGTTATCATATAATGTGGAGTACACAATAATCATCCAAAGCTTCAGCGCCAAAGAAGAAACCCTTATCTGGCTCGGAGTGTGCGGCCTTCCAGAATCCACCCTCCAAAACCCAGGTGATGTGTTGTCCACTTTGCCTCTCCTTGGTGGCCCAAAGGTGTCACCTTGGCACAAGGCAAACCGGTGATAGGGGCGTGGTGCAGGCTACCGCCTTCACTTTTCGCTAGTTCCCGGATTTGCTACACCCAATCTGTGGGTTTAGAAACCAGGTAAGGCAGCTTAGTTGTATAACGCTAGGCACATTCAAGAAGTGTGCCTCCAGCGCCTTCTGCACTCCTACAAGAAGACAGGAAGGGGCACGGACATCGGACGGGAAGGAGAATTCGGGGCTGGCGGGGTCTCAGTTTGGGGGAACAGTTTCAGGTAGACACGCTGGGTAAAGTGTGGGTCCTTTAAGACGGGTGCGGCCGACTTTCCTGGGAGCCCGAACGCCCCGCCCACAGGCCCGCGCGCCGTGCTGACGCGCCCTGCACGTGGGGCGGGGCCACGCCCACCTCGCGCGCCGCTTCCGGCTCTGTCTAGGATTCCGCGCCTGCGCATTGCCGCCCGCCCCGCCCCCCGTGGCCGCGGCAGGAGCGGGAGATGGTGCTGTCGGAGTTGGCGGTTCGCCTCAACTGCGCCGAGTACAAGAACTGGGTGAAGGCGGGCCACTGCCTGCTGCTGCTGCGCCGCTGCCTGCAGGGCTTCGTGGGCCGGGAGATGCTGGCCTTCCACCGCGGCCTGCTCGCTTGCGCCCCGGGCCTGGGCCCTGGCGCCACCTGCAGCTCCAGGTGCTGCCCGCGCGGCCGCCAGGTGAGCATCCGGGGCCTTGACCATTGAGTCCTCCCCCACCCCGCCCCATCCCCTTGCTAGTCCCTCCGACCCCTTGCGCGCGCGCGCCCCCCCCCCCCCCCCCCCCCCCCCCGGTTTCGAGCTCAGTGTCCCGGGCCCTCCGTGGTGCGGGGCCCAGATGCCCAAATGCCTGTCCCTGCCGCGCCCTGCAGTTCCAGCCTCAGTGTCCGCTGTGCGCGGAGTGGAAACGGGAGATCCTGAGACATCACACCAACAGGAACGGGGACGTGCACTGGGGCAACTGCCGGCCGGGCCGCTGGCCCGCGGACGCCTGGGAGGTGGCCAAGGTGAGCACCTGCGGCCTGTGGGCCGGGCGGGGCGGCGCCGCGGGCGGGAGTCACCGGAGCCGCACCTCATCCACAGCCCGAGGAGCGGAGCCCCAGGGCTGGCGTCGGGGCGGCTCCGGGAGGCTTGCTGCGGCCTGTCCGCGGCCTGGGGGCATGGGAGTTGCTGCTCCCGCTTGCAAAGCCGGGGGCCGATCTGCGGGGGAGACGCGGGGACAGGATGGAGCGGGGGTCCCGGGCACAGGCCCCGGGGGCCGCATGGAGTGCGGTGTGGAGGGGAAGTTGCTCCGCTCCTCAGCCCGGTTCTCATGTCCCACGAGGACGGCGAAGTGAGCCAAGGCGGAACGGGCTCCAGCACGGAGGCCCCATGCCGGCTAAGGAGGGAAGCCGGAGCCGGGGTAGGCGGCCAGATGGAAGGGTTCCAGGAGACTTGTTTTTAGGTTTTGGCAGTTTGACTGACTAGCCGGGCCAAGTGGGAATTTCTGTTGTTGTTGTTGCCTCTTTGATGTTTGCCAGAAGCCGTGGAGGGGGTGGGCGGCTCAGGCAGCCTCCTGCCAGTGAGCAGCGGGCACAGGCTCGGTGCCTGGGAAGCAGCGATCAGTCCCAGCTCAACCGCTGTGAGTGCCGTGGGGCCAGCCCGTTCCCTCTCCTCCAAACTGAAGCTGAACTGTCTCAGCACCCAGACTGGTGGCTGTCAGGGTCCCGTAAACCCACACACCTGCACCCCCGGCCCCCTTTTTCTAAGCCAACTCCTCTCACCTAG